TATATATATAATACACACACACAAGTATATAATATACAAAAATTCTGTGTGTCTCCTGGGAGCTAGGCCCCCCCTTGTCCTTAAAACCTAGTGACACTCCTGCCTCAAAGAGACTCATTTCCTAGCCATATTGTTTAAACCAGAGGTTCTCAAACATTCTGGGTCTGGGGACCCCTTACAAGGGTGAGCAATTTCCAGGGACCCAATCATAAACCCCATGCTGTTTTGCCATTTTAGCCCCTAAATGACATGGGAATATTATGTTTGGTTTGATTTAGTATGTTTGTTTACTAGTGCATTGCTCCCCAAATGATTAAAAATAAAAATAAAAACCAAATTAAGAATTTATAGGATTTTTTTTGAGGACCCCAAAGATAAGGCAAACAGACCCCAGTTTAAAACCTATGGTTTCAACTGTCCGCCTTTCCTTTTTAAAACCACAAAGCAAGCCAAAAAAAAACCTAATTTCCCTCTGGGATCAATAAAGTATTTATGAATTGAATTGAAAAACATCCATTTGCCTCTCACCTTTAAGGAAGTAGAATAGGATCTCTTTGAGCATTGCTTTGTGAATCTCTGGGTGGGTGATGGAGTTCAGCAGCCTCCTCTTCTCCTCGTCGGCGAAGATGATTTGACCCAGCTTCTGCCTGTCGATCTCCCCGTTCTCCAGAAGAATCTCGAGCCCAAAATGGTAGATGATGCGGGAATAGGCAGGGGTGTACGGYTCCACGACTGATACAGAGAAAAAAGTCATTTGGCGTGCTTTTACACGATTAACCATATAATACACAAAATGTAATAGGAAAGTGTTCAAAACGTGGCAGCAACTTATGAGACTTAAAAGGAAAGAAAAATAATTTYTGTTTTTGTAAGAGACACATCACCTCACTATGCAGTTTGCATAATGCCATATTTCATGTTCCACACACAGCAGTGTGCTTGTAAACCCACATTTATGACCTTTTTATCTGCGCTACATCACTAAAAGACATCACTCCCGCAGTCAGCAGAGACATCTCTCATGATTCATCCATTCTTCTCCAAGCATTTGTCTTAATGAACCTGGTTTATTTGAGAGAAAGTGGCCTAAAAAAAACTTCAAGTGGCTGATGCTCCTGGGCAAAAAAATTCATCCAGAGTTTTGCAGTCTCTTTGGGTTTACAGTGAAGTACATCTACTGACCTTTTCTTGCCACGACATCAGCATCAATTATGGGGCAGCCGAGCTCCCGCAGCATTGAAGACACAGTGCTTTTTCCTGAGGAAATGCCTCCTGTAAGTCCCACCAGGTACATCTTAGAGTAGAGACAGAGAGATATAGCCAGGCAATGTCATTAAAATAATGATGTTAAGTCCCCTCCATTTAGAGAAATTTTAAAGATGTAAAAGAGAGAAACTTTAGAAGAGCTGGTTTGTGGATATTGTTCAAATTTAATCTAACAATTTTCTGGGATAAAAAACAAAAATAAACATCAGCAAACAGGCAACACTCAAGTCCCCACACCACGGTTTGAAATTATTTGGCTCTACATTCCCAGACCCTTACAATAAAACTGGAGAACAAAAAGAACAAGGATAAAAGTATTTTTACGAATAAATGGAAGACGTGTTTGTGCAGCATTTAACTATGTTCATTAGACTGAGGTTTTACTGCTTTTTATTATACCTGGGTGATTTATTATATTTGTTGTATTTTACATTGTTAAACAAGGACAGCTTATCAGCACATCTTTATACTTTTTAGGCACGATTTATTCCTGACATCTACATATTAAATATACAAGTCCTAAAATGTGTTGAAATATTAAAATGATTCTAGAAAGATCTCAGGTATTTGAGCAAATCACTTTAAATAAAATGTTAACCTGACAAAACAATACAAATTTTAAGAATCCAAATATTTTTGAAAGGTTGTTGATTACTGAATGTTTTTATTTTATTTTTTGTAATATATCCTTCAAGCCCCAAAGTATGCTTAATTTTGATTCAGAAAAATAATGAATACCCGCAAATCTTGGATGATTTGCTCATGAGATGAGTATAAATTAGCTCATATGTCGAACCGATGTTTTTGTATTATTTCCACCGGACACGCCCCCTGTCGATGAAACAATAAATTGCATTGTGGTTATGTTTAATCAGTGTAGCTAGTTGTTAAACTGGTTTACAGTTCGAAATAACACATTTTAAAGTAATAAGTTCAACACCCTCCCTGGCAAGACAACAAGCTCTTATTTCTAAATAAACTACTGGTTGTTTGCCAAACTTGAGTAATGTTGCGACAGTCGTTTGTGACTTATTTCTTTATGGCTTTACCTCTTTTGGACTCCTTCAGATTCCTTCAAACAGCTGAAGCTCAGGAGAAATCCCTGCAGGCTCACAGTTGCAAAAACCAAGCCAATGCTAACAGGCTAACTTTAGCACAGGAGTTGATTCAAGTGGAAACGACCTCGAACAACCGGTTAAACGACACCGCCGCCATTTTTAAAGAAGCTACAGTAAAGACAGCAGAAGATATAAACTGTTTGGAGGCAGCCTTGCAATAAATTGCCTCTGTGTGCAACTCTTAAGCTGCACTCCGTTTTGTGCTAACAACCTAGCTTCGTAGCTTCTCGTGCGCCACTTCAAAAGATCCACGACCTTTCTCCTCGCATTAACATTAGTTCCGCCTGAAAACAAGTTCCCAACCCTGGCCAGCTCAGTGACACAAACTTCCTCAACAGTGTTTATTTCAAAGCAAAATACTTGCATGAATGACACACACACACAAAATTCTTTTTCATAAAGTAAAATAAAATATAGTAAGTCCGTTTTATAATAATATTTYTAATGACAACTAAAGTTCCATCTTCTGATCACTGTTTTGTTTTGGTGTGCCAGAGGTGTCCAGCAGGCAGGAGGAACCGTGGGAGTGTTTGGATCTTTTGCCTCTGTGCACCGTTTCACCTCCATTTCCCCCTTCCTCACGCTCCAGTCGGCCTCTTTTCACAAAATGGTTTATCCTGGACTCTAGGCTCTCACAGCATGGTCGCTGCAACAGCGGGCGGTAGTTTTTCTGTCTGCTGCCTTCCACCAGCCAGCAATGATTAGAAGACACGCCACCTGTTGAGTGACAGCAGAGGGAAAAAAGTACATCCTTTTTATAGTGATCATTTCTAACAGACGGATTCCAAATGTTGTTGATGCACAAACAAAATACCATTAACCTCCATCATCTTCTCACCTCTTTCCTCCAAACCTCGAATCATCCCGTGCAGAACGTGAGCTCTGACTGCGCTCTGAGTCCAGTGCTGCTGCAGCGACGACAAAACGTGGTTCACCTCGTCTGCCTCCAGCTGCCAGCTCAAGCCTTCGAAGTGGCAGTCGTACAGCACCAGAGGATAATCCACCGCCATGCTACGCGCCAGACGAAACAAAAAACTCATGCTTACACTTTTTTTAAAAAACACTTTATAGAAAAAATAAAAAGCGGTATTAACAACACCTCACCTGTATTGGGGCTTCCTAGGGTTATTCGTAACATCCATAAGTTGATCAATTATGTCTGGAGATTCCAGCTTTTGTCCAATCAAAAGAAGAACTGCCATCATGCAGCGTACCTGCAGCAAAACAAATAATTAACTGTAAAAACAGACCATAAGTCCTGAAATACTCTTTACATATGAATGCAGAGGTTTTGAATGAGTCAAATGTTACATTTTTCGACAAAAATAGAATGTAGAGTAATTAATTTTGATACCTGGTGGTAAAGGAAGGCTAACCCTTTGATCTCAAACACAAACAGATCATACTGGTCTGTGCTGGACTCAAGTTTGCGATGCACAGGCTGGATCGTGGCTGACAGAATGGTCCTCTCAAACTGCAGGACTCCGTTCCCCACGTCCATTTTACACAGGTTGCGAAAGTCATGAGTCCCCTCGTACCTGTTGAGCACCGAGAGGTCTCTGAGTCAAAATCAAAAGAGGATGAAACCAGCATTCCGTCGTTCAGTGTCGCCTTCACAAACCTCTTGGCAGCTTCCGCCATCAACGCCACATCCAGTGATCCTCGGGGGAAGTAGTATCGGTATGTGCGGGATTTGCAGTCAAAGCGTGCGCTGAAACCTTCCGCAGCTGGAGCCCAGTCCAGGATACGAACGTCCTGCGGCARCACTCTGTTCAGCATCTTTACGTACGGAAGCTCGGCGGTGCAGTCTTTTGACTTGGCGTGGACATTTTCAGGCAGGGTGACACCTGGACCTCCACAAAACTGTGTGGAGCGCAAGTCGATGGTAATGACCTGAAGTGGAGACAAAAACGATCTGTTATGACGTGTTATATCCGTCTGCACAGATTGTAAATTTGACATCCTTACTTGGGAAAAAGCACTGACTCCTTTATCAGTGCGCCCACAGCGGTGGTAATTGGAGCTCTGTCTGTCCTGAATCAGCCGAGTCTTCAGCAGTGCTTCAAAGAGCCTGGCCTCCACCGTGTTGTCCGTGTTCTCCTGGACAGCAAACCCCTGGTAGGCCCACCCCAGGTAGGTCAGTCTGAGAGCTACATGGCGCCGGGGGTGTGCAGTGAAGTCAAAGGGGCGCTCTTTACCAAATTTCTTTCTGTCTTTTTTACCACTCCTGGTGTCTCCGTCAGACCTGCTGTCATCGGTGTTTTCATTAGGACATGATGAGCTGGACATCATGTCTCCTGCTCCGCTGTTCTCCTTCAGCTGGGACCTGAGCTTCTCCAGCTCTGCCTCCAGCTCCTTGATTCTCTGTATTAGTGACTCTGACATGCTGCTTGACAAACAAAACAATGAACATTGTGAATAGCCCACTGTGTATAAGAGTTTAAATCTAACTTGGTAAACTCAAAACGCACTTTAAATAACTTTCATTTTAATAATTAAGTCCGAGTCATTTCTATAAATCTACTATGACAAATAACAAATCAGTTTTAAGAGAGCTACTCAGCTAGCCTGTCGCCAACAAACTGAACTGAACCAGTCCTTTACCTAGTCTCAAAACGTAAATAAAAAACGATTAATCAAGTCTTACATTAGTCAAAAATTTTCTAAATAGATAAATGTGCAGCTTTACCTTTATTTTGAGTCCGAATGTTCGTGAATTTCTACTTTTCAATCGGCTTCCTACAGCACACGCGCACACGTTCGACTAGATTTTACAGCAGGACGCATTTCCGGCTGAGGCTTCTGGGAAATGTAGTTTAGCATTTTAAAAAGGCTGCCAGGAAATGGGTAGGGCTTCTGGAGAACTTTTATGAAGTTTATTGTCAGTAAACCTTTAAGATAATTTTAAAATAGTTTGAATATGATGATTGCACATATTTTATCCTATATTTTTGTTGTAATGCATTTTATCACAGTACGTGAGGTGAACAATATCCACAGTAAGGAAACAATTTAAATGCCAGGCTAAAGTTGCATGTTTTTTTTTTTTAATCATTATGGATTCTCTTTATTGGATACTTTGCAGAAATAGACACCAATGATAAGCATAAAGTAGCATGAAGGCTTCCAGCCACATCTTTATTCATAACTGAAAAGCAAACAGTGCTGTTTACGGATCAGCTGAGGTTTTCATAGTTCTTCTGTTTTATGTTCAGACACAAACATATGCCAAGTACGGCTCCAAAAATCTGTAACAGACAAATGCAAAACAGTTTAGTTCAGGAAACACAAACAATGACTTACCAGGTGTAAAAAAAATAGTTTTGGGCTTTTTTATTCCAAACGTTTGCTCAAGAAGTTTAACTAGACTTAAGTTTCTATGATAAATAATAATAATAATAATAATAATAATAATAATAATAATAATAATAATAATAATAATAATAATAATAATAATAATAATAATAATAATAATAATAATAATAGTAATGCATTAGTTTTATACAGTATAGCGCTTTTCAAAACCCTCAAAGACGCTTTACAATTTTCACGCATCATTCATTCACACTCACATTCACACACTGATGATAGTAAGCTACATTGTAGCCACAGCTGCCCTGGGGCAGACTGACAGAGGCGGGGCTGCCATACTGCGCCACCGCCCCCTCTGACCACCACCATAAAAAAAGATTAATTCTATTTTAAAGTTGTTGGTTTTTTTTACATTTAAGGATAAACCATATGGACATTGTTCAAGCACCGCTTTTAGCCCTCAGGCCATATGTTGCCTGTGTGTCCATTAATTATCCTCTGTTAAAACCACTTTTTTCTAAGTACAGATGAGACCAGGTCTTTTCAGATTTCTAGGGGATGCAAAAAAAAAGGCTTGCATCTATATGTTTGACTTTTTCAAACTTGTATTTTTTTTCATTGATGTCATTGTAGAAAACCTTTGCAAAACAAACTCAGCCGTTCACCTCTGTGATTCCAAGAACGATGCAGATACAACCGACCCACACCAGATTCTTGGCCAGAAAGCCCTTGAGAACTTTGAAGCATCCCTGGGGAAGAGAAGGCGAGTTGTTTTTCGGAAAACAGCTCAAGATATTCAAGAGGAGATCTCCCAGCAGACCTTTTTGTGTATTTCATTCTTGTCCTGTCCACAGCCTCTCTTTTTCTGCTGGCAGCAGGAATCTGGCACGCCCTTCTGCTTTCCCAATATTCCCATCAGGGACCAGTCAGTGTAACTGTTTGCACCACAGCACTGGAACTGCAACAGAAGTTAGGAAGCATCGGCTCTATTATTTTTGCTAATCTCTTCTGTCTTCTTACAAACACCAAGCTGTGCATGTCACCTTTTCCTGAATTCCGTCGATGTTCTCCAGGTTGGATGCACTCATCGTTTTGATGTCGAAACTAACGGTCATCTGGAGGATCTGTAGAGAGAAGAGGATTAAACTTTGCTTTAGTTAAAACAACATCACCTCTAGCATATACTATCAAAAGGATGCTGATTTTTCTTTATGCTGATTGGAATTTAAAATAATTCCCTGCGGTAGGGATTAAAATATCTCACCCTGCTGCGAAACACATAAAAGACAATTCCTGCGAGGATCTCCAAAAGGATGACAGTGATCAGGATACAGATGAACTATTCAATGAAACAAACATTAAAAAAAAATCATTCTCAATAATCTTGCGTTGTATTAAAGAYAAACATGTAAGGAAATGATCTCCACCTTGTTTAGAAGCATAAAGTACTCACACAAGTCATCATGGAGGAATTATTAAGGAATGCACCAATATGACCAATGATGGACACAACCGTGATGATGGCGCCCACGACAATGAGGGTTATGGCAAGTTTAGACAAGCCAATCCCTACAAAGGCACTAATCTGGGAATAGGTTGGATACTGCAGAGATCCAATGATAATCAGAGCAACTCCAGATGCCTAAAAACCAAATGTACAAGTTTAAGTCAACTCCTGAACTCTTCTACGGCTGTTATCATGGATGCAGTAGTGGCTAAGCAGTGCCTGCCTCACATATGCAATATGTCTTATATTAATTACCTTAGCATTTTTTCCTAAAATGATACAATGTTTTTGTTTCAACATTCAATATATTTCCTGTTTGTTTATTTATTTATTTATTTATTTATTTATTTATTTATTTATTTATTTATTTATTTATTTATTTATGTGAAGAAAATATAAATTGGATTGAGTTGTTTTATTGTCATATGCGGGTTAACACAAATCAATGCAATGAAATTCTTAGGATGAGAAAAAAAACCAAATCACATTAAAAAATGACAACCCATTTCAATGTAATATTTACAATACACAAGTAAAATATGATGAACACTGTAGTAAAGTATAACGATGCAGGCAGGGCGAGTAAAGTATAAGTACAGTATTCCACAGGTGGTAAAACTGATAAGATTGTATTGCACATGCTATATCATATGTTATGTGCAATATATAMCGAGTTTGTGAGATTTGCAAATCATTCATTAATTCTACATTTAACACTATTCACATTTTTTTTTGGTGTTGCACTACAGTAAATGTAAACTTCTAATTTTTTTTTTTTTTTTTTGCATTTTCTTACACAAATCAATCCCATCTGACATAGTTTTGTTGCAAAATATAGTATCAGAACACATTTTGGAAAACGAAGCATTGTCAAACTTTTACACACCTATTTTGCTTTTACATCTTATTTGCATTTCATCAAAAACAATCCTAAAGTTAGCATTTTTAAATAGTTTCTACTAATAAATAACAGCAAATAAAGGCTGCTCTTTCCAAACTTAGCCTTTTATTGACCAGATCACTTGTCTCAACACAATTACCCAAATAATAAATGATTGATTTTACTTACCAAGAAGATGGTGTTGAAGAAAATGAAACAACATTTGATGCTGCAACAGCCGCTCATTGTGGATCAAGGAGAGGTTAATTTGGCTTTAAATTGTAGAACGTTGTAGACTTTGCTTCAAGTGTGGCACAAACGTCTGAGCTCTAATTTGGTTTGACTGGGTCATATGACTGTATGAAAATGAGCCTTCAGGCCTGATAAGTGTTAAATGTATGTATCAGATGAAAATATGACGTTCCTTTTTCAACAATATTTGCATTGTGCCAACTTGTAATAATACCATTTAACTCCTGGTTGTAACCTTCTAAAAATGGACTGATACTGAAAGCTACCAACTCGTAGCACCACTGATTATTTGCTGAGAAGAAACTTTAAGAGACCTAAATGGTTCGTTTAAATAAACCTTTTAGTTTCTGATCCCCAAAATAACCATGTTCAAGACAGCAGTCCCACATATCCTTGGTCGAACTACTCAAACTGTGCCTAAAATGTTAATAAACAAGGGCTACTACTGTGAGGTTTGTTGGCAAAAGGACCAAGGATGCTGACAAACCTGGGAAACTCAAAGTAAACTGTTTATTATTAAAGAAAGAAAAAGCAAAAGGTCGGCGTGGCAGCAAAAACTTACAATAAAGGTGAGAGAACAACCAGAAATACATGGGGAGGGATGGCAATGCTGAACTGACAGGTGGTGACAAAGGACTGAATTAGGGATGTACAATATATTGGCATTAATATCGGTATCGCCCAAAATTGGTTATTTTTAGAATATCGGTCTGATAAGTAAAACTGGGCCGATATTAATGTCTGATTTTGATTTCCCACTTTTTAGCTTTGTGTTTCTGTTTTGGGAAGGGAAATGGTTGGTCGAGCAGTATCTGTTTGATCATGATAGTGACAGTGACGCTGCACAGCCAGGAATAACTAAAATAGAGACCCATGTTAGCAGTCTGGTCGTTTTTATAGTATTGATAAAAGACAAATGTATTTGTGTATATATGTATATAAATATTTGTGTGCTTTGATTATCAGCCGTAACACCAATAATAATATCGGACATTGATATCAACTGGAATTTTCATATCGGTGCAACCCTAGACTGTATATAAAAAGCAGGGACTGATGAGGCTAATGGAGACAGCTGGACTGATAAGGAGCGACAACATGTGTGAATGGTTGACTGATTGAAGGACAGCAAAGCAAGCTGACAGGAGACATTGGAAAACACAAGTACAAGAAATAAATGGACGCGGGACATGACAATGACACAAACAACCATAAAAGAGAAACCAGGGACTCAGACTACGACAGGACCCCTCCCCTCAAGGCATGACGTCCAAAACTACATTCAGACTCGGGTGGGAGGAAGGGGCACTGACAGGATAGAGGGAGCGAAACTAAACTCCAACTAACTAAGGGGAATAAACAGAATCGAGGGCACAAGAAAAACAATTACATCAAGATCAATGAACCGAAAAAACAACTGACAGGAGAAAACCCTGAGATAAAAAACACACAAATAGTCTCAATAGAGGATGGACATGAATCAAGAGTTCTGGTGGGCGACCCGGGGCTTGCCATGCACTAAGCAACAAGACCATGGGAGACTTTGAGATCGTGGGACACTCTGAGACACGTCACCCAGGGAGAAGGTTCACTCCTTGGACGAATGCCCCAGGAGATCCATCTCCCCTTCTTCCTTCACAAGAAGAGGAGAGGATTTAGATGTGTCGGGTTTTATCCAAAAAAAAAAAAAAAAAAACCCCTGTCTACTGGGTGCGTGAGTTCAGCATTCTGTGAGGTTTGTTGGCAAAAAGGACCAAGGATGACACTCAAAGTAAAACTGTTTATTAATAAAGAAAGAAAAAGCAAAAGGCCGGCGTGGCTGCAAAACAAATAATAACGGTGAGAGAAGAACCAGAAACACACAGGGAGGAATGGCAATGCTGAACTGATGGGTGGTGACAAAGGACTGAATATAGTGTAAAAAAGCAGGGACTGATGCTGGACTGATAAGGAGAGACTACAGGTGAAAATGGTTAACTGACTGAAGGAAAGAAAAGCAAGCTGGCAGGAGACATAAAGCAAATACACAAACAACCACAAAAGAGAAATCACTCAGACCATGACAAATACATCCCCCTAACCACCACCTTTAATGGYAATGTTAGTAAAATTATGCTGGTTGGAATAAATTTTAAATTGTATTTGCTTTTTAAAGCCCCTTTCAGGACCTCAAACCTGGTGATTTTATGACCCACAGCGAGGTCCTGACTGTGAACTCAAGGGCTGTGAAAAGCTGCTTTGTTTAATTTTGTTTACGTACRTATCACAAAAAGTAAGGACTTTTATGTTCTGTAGATTATTTCTTTGCTGTAACAATGCTTCTTGGCAATAAATCTCACCGGACACCTGATTGGCAGCGCCTGGCTGTACTAGAACAGTACTTGTTTTGATGCTCAAAACAAGTGTCAATAGCAACAGCAAAAGAAGCTGTTTGGCAAAGATTTATGTGCTCAACCCACAGCTCTGCTGCTCATCCCACAATTGCATGTTCCTTACAAATGTGGCAACTGTGCAGTACTTTGTCCAGGACAAATTTCCCTCAGGGGGCAATAAAATACAATAATCTACTACTACTAATAAAAAAAATTAGTCTTCAAAATTACAGAATTAATCTGAGGAAGTCTTTCAGATGGAACACTGTTGCATCATCCTGCAACACAATTTATTGTTTTTTTTTTCACATAATTACCAAAAAAAAAAAAAGAAAACTTACAAAAGTTTATAGTTTCATAAAGAAATGCTGAAATTTTTCAGTCACAGAGCAAACTGAGCTTTTRGATCTCCAGCAGCTGCAGGAAACCTGGAGCGCCTCCACGGGCCCCTGGCTGCAGCAGAGCCGTCTCCATCAGCTCCAGGGAGGCGTGAACGTCTTCTCTGTTCCACAAATCTTCTTCTGCTTCCATCTCTTCAGAGCGTTTCTTAGAGTTCACGCCAGAGACCGCTGCCCTGCGAGGAGACTGGGCTGCTTTCTGCAGTTGCACAGTTTCAGATGGGTTTTTTTTTTAGACTCCTAGCTTTTTGTGGAAGAAACAACAAAACAGATGCAATGTTGGGTAATTTAAGAAGTTTTACCCTGAAAGATTTCTCTGATGTGGATGAAAGTTTGAAATTGCTGTCGTCAGAATTTCACTCTGCAGATTATAAATGCAGGATTTATGAACAATTTGTGTGTAATTTGCTACACAAGAGGGCGCACTTGTCCCCCTGTTCCAACCACCCAGACACCTTGAACCAATCAGCCAATGTCAGCAATGCTTCACTGCTCTTGTCTTTTGTCCCATTGTGATGGGAGGGATGGACTAATGGAGTCTTCGTGCCTCACAGGGAATGTCGGCCGGGAATCAGAAAGGATAATGATTTACTCTGAAGTGGCATGTTTTCCAAGGCCTCCATGAGAACAGGAAGTAAAACCCCTACCATAGTTGGAGTACTCAGAGAGAGAGGACTTTGTCCTTCCCACGACGAAATGCTTTTCCTGTTTGGAATTCCAAAAGACTTTGGTCAAAACTGCGAAGGACTTCAGCACGATAAGAGCAATTATCAGGGGAAGAAGAGGGGGCTGGGTGGCTGTGAACAGTGAAAAATGCCTCATGGGCTGTAGTGACAATGTTGCAGAAAGATGGGTGAACGTTACAGAATGGACTGGCTGAGATTAACTGTACTCAGCAAGGCAGGGGTGATGTCATGCTTGATACATTCATTGTTGGAAGTTTAACCAACGCGAGAGCTACAATGGTGTATTTTTGTAGTCCCATCACTTCCTAGCAATGGTTCTGTACATGGGAAAAATGCAGAATATTTGGATGCTGATTCAAACTGTGGGGCGAACAGATTTCCCTGAAAAGATCAAAGAAGCACAAATAAACAGACAGGAATAGTTCAAATCTTGGAAATGGAGTTTGTGTGAAAACGTTATGAACAACAGGCCTCGTGTAGTTTTGACTGATGTCAGTCGCAACACAGAAAACAATGACTCAGTCCATCATGTCACTGTGAAGAGGCGGATACTGTGGAGTCGTACATTTCAACTGTCATTAATCGGCATATTTCTGACAGCTGGAATGCAGATGTGCTTTTGCAAAGCGGCGCTATCCACTAATGCAGGGTACTCAAGCCTCAAAAACAAGATGAAAAAGATCCACCAGATAGAAGCAAAACCAACAACAGATGGGATGTTTTCTGGAATCATGTGGTCTGTTTTGCCAAAGAACACAAATTAATCCTGCTTTTTTTTCTTTTAAATGCAACACTTTTCTCTTTAGCAGTAATTTTCCAAGGACTTGGCAAAACATAAATGTGTTTTTTGTACAAACACAAGGTGAGACCTATAAAACTTAAGGCTCTGGCACCAGACTGAACTTTTTAATGTTTCTTTTCATTTGTTTTTTAGTAAAATAAAAAAAAGAGAGAAAATGTAACTGATCCAAAAGAAATATCAAAGCCAATTATTTTATACCATAAAAAAACATTTCTATTTGCAGACGCTCTGTTTGGATTTTTATTTTTTATTATTTTCCGTGGAATTCAACGTTTTCAGTTTGTTTATTTTTGTTTYGGATATGCAAGCCTGAAAAATGATCCAGCTTTAAAGAAAATAAATAAATGATGAACATTACAAAGCTGCATCTGTTTTCTGGCATTCAGCTCAGCTTCCTTGTTCCTGGTGCTCTATCTGCTTTATGGGTCAGAGAGTTGTTAGAGGTGGGAATAAAAAATGGGCCTGCCCCACATTCCAGGATGTGCTTCTTTACAATGTCCAGTCTGGGGTTGCTACCCTGCGTGTTTTACCTGTTTCCCTGCTCCAGCACACCCGATTCAGTAACTGAAATACCTTGTAAAGTTCTGCAGATGCCTGTCAATAACCTGTTTATTCAAATCAGGTGTGCTGAAACAAAGAAACATCTAAAACCTGCGGGATGGACAACCTGCTTTACATACTTGTAAACACCTCTGTAAAACAAGATTACATCTTGTTATTTCTGCTGTTTTCTATTTTGTTACGGCTTGTCTTCAGGCAAAAAACTTTTGTTTAAATTTACACATCAATCAGCAGAACTGTTGAAGGGTTTTACAAAAGATAGTGATAGTTTTGAAGCTTAAAGTGCCTGTGACATCAAATTTTTGTAAAAAAATATGAATGCCTTTTTGGAAAGATAACACTAATGACTTATTACAAAAAAACATTTCACGCCACTGAGATGAACAGGTGTTGAGATATTCACATGTGAAGTAACAGGAAGTGATGTCAAAGTGGAAAGTCTGGATGTAAACAGAGCATTACTACAATGGATAGACTGTAGAGAAGAATCTGATGTTTCTTCAGATTATTTTGAGTCACTATCAGTGATAAACGAAGAAGTGCCAGAGTTCAAACAATATTGCTTTAATAAGCAAAGTCCAGAGAATTTGATTTCTTAAAGAGATCCCCTTTGATGTCACTTCCTGTTTGTTTCGTCCAAGCTGAATTAAAAAGAAAATATGCCAGTTATGAGACAAAATGTTTAAAATTGTATGTTTTATGCCAAGTTTCATAAATATATAGCTTTTTTCTTTGAAGGAAATGCATGCCACAGGCACTTCCTGTTTGTGTTGATCGGCCTTCACCTTCCAGTGGTGGCTGATGAAGTTTTCACAGTTACTGTAAAACAAAACAAGCAAAAAAATAAATTCCATCATTCACCTCATCTTTTAATAAAGAAGAGCACATTAGCCTGTGGCTAAAGAATGTTCACAACAACAGGTAAGTTAGTGCGTCAGACACGCAGAACAAGCAACTTATTTATTAAAAATGTCAGTAAAAGTCTTTAATTTAAAGGGATCTTTGTAGTTCTCCACATTTCTTTCTTCAGTCTGAACCAGCAGCTCTAAAAAGTGATTCCTTTCTCCTTCTGGGATTCACCTGTCACACTGAACGGTCACAGAGTTGCTCTACTTGCTCGTCTTGTTTCATGTTGTAACTCTGACCGAGTGGCTCTCTCTCTCTCGCCGCAGTTTGCAGAAGGTTCACTGGGAGAAACGGTGTCTTGTTTAGGAGGAATCAAGAAWAATGGATAAAAGAAGCAGACAATGGAGCAAAGTGAGAAGGTTTTGAAAGAGGAGATTTTACTTCTTGGAGGTAAACTGTAACTTTTTAATTCTTCTTTATTGTTACTCTCCTTGTTTTGCCTCAGATTGAATGTTTTCACTCACCCACACATTTCCTACTCTCTCTCTCTCTCTCTCTCTCTCTCTCCCTCCTGTTCTCAGTACAGAGGGGGCAGTGGGGGATGGACATGTATGTTTCTGATTGGCCTTTCTGATAAAACTGCCTGTTTCTTGTTTAGTTTGGGACAGAGAGAAAACAAAAAGCCTCCCCTCTTTTTTTTTTTTTTCTGTTACAACATCACAGAGGATGTGTCAACACAGACAGGGAGAACATGGAGAGCCTAGACTTCACACCCGGTCAAATAATCTGAGCTAAAACCAGAGGAAGAGGGGGCCACAGCTGATGAGAAAGAGCTTGAATCTCAGTTGCCGACCTGATATTTTGGATTCCCAACATGGACAAGAATGGTGACGTCCCAAAGACATTTGTGTCCACCTTTCGCCTGGCCCTCAGGCGCTGTGAGAGGAAGCAGAATGGACTGGAAACCAGTGGCAGGAAAATAACAGGAAACAACAAACTGGGGCTCTCATCTGCAACAGGTAAAACTTCAAACTGAACTTTTAAATGTTTTGTTTCATTTTGCTTTTAGAAAATAGGGGGATAAAAAGCAGAGTTGTTTTCTGTTCTGGCCTAGCTTCTTTTAAAATATATCAGATTATGGCCTATTGAGCTCGTACGCCTGATCATGTTTACTTTATTTCCTTTTTGGGTGTGTAACATCAAAATAATGTAATGCCACAAACCTTTATTAACCCCGAAAACAGATAAAAAAACAACAACTGACGCAACTTCAAAGTGACACGATTTAGTTTCTCTGTGATTAGATAAGGAGTCAAAGAATTCTGGGGGAATTGTTGCAGAAACACAGCTGTGGAGTTTGGAGCCAATGWGTGCTTTCTKMGTGTTTCATTMAWATCTGTCCACTTCCAACATTCCAGCACCAAATGATCAGAGTTAATGGTGGAAAATGCTTGTAAACAACAACAAAGCCCAAACCAAACTCTACCACTCACTTGTTTAATCGCATCTTTAAAATATTCAGCTTTATCAAATACGGCTACAATTATAAATCTGTGCCTTGATTACTGTTGCAAAAGTCATTTTGTTCAAACCTTAAAAACTATATCTATATCTATAAATATCTAAAGTGATCTGTTCTGGTATTTGTTGTGAATGACTATCAGCTACGTACTACCATCATGACAAGTTTTAGTGAAATATCAGTAAAATTAACTGAATTACAGCCATTTTTCTCTGTCTAACTTTGGCAGCCATTATGAATTGAGTTGATTTCAGATGTTGATTAGGTTTAGATGATTCAAAGATTGATTTTTTGCAAGTTTCATTAAAATCGGTTCACTTGTTTATAAGACGTCCTGATGCATCTCAGTAATCCAGGTAAAAAATCAAAAAGAAAAAAATTGTGTAGGTCTTCTGGACGGGTTCTTCTCTAATGAAACGTTTCGTCTNTTACTGTTGCAAAAGTCATTTTGTTCAAACCTTAAAAACTATATCTATATCTATCTATAAATATCTGAAGTGATCTGTTCTGGTATTTGTTGTGAGTGACTATCAGCTACATACTACCATCATGACAAGTTTTAGTGAAATATCAGTAAAATTAACTGAATTACAGCCATTTTTGTTTGTCTAACTTTGGCAGCCATTATGAACTGAGTTGATTTCAGATGTTTATTAGGTTTAAATGATTCAAAGATTGATTTTTTTGCAAGTTTCATTAAAATCGGTTCACTGGTTTATAAGATATTTTATTACAACTTAAGACACACAAACAGCAAAAACATTATTATTGATTCAGGATTTTTAAGGTGCGCAAAGGACAACAACAAGGACTGACAGATAAATAAATGTGACATTTATTTATTTATTCTTTCCTACAATTTCTCAATTAGGTGTCAAACAGGTAAAGGTTCAGTCTGTGGAAGCCCCGCGCTTTAAAGAACCACTCCAGAACTGCTTGGTCTGCGACGGGGGTGACGCCATGTTTTGTGGGGTCATCACAGGAAGTGAGCCAATGAGGGTTTCCTGGCTGCACAATGGTAAATGKTTTTTTAAAAATGCTGTTATTAAAACAAGGAAACAAAGACAAAATGGYTTKAYTTGAAGATTGATCAGCTTACATAACTTTCTTTGCATTYAGGTGTAGAAGTGAACTCAGGTCATGCTTTCAAAACAGGTGTTGCCACTTTAAGCCTAACTCAGTGCTCACATGGAAAAGCTGGAGTGTACACCTGCACAGCCGAGAATAGTGCAGGAAAAACATCAAGCAGTGGTTTATTGCAAATTACAGGTAAGGTTACAAATTCCTGAGGGAGATAAAGACCCGTAAAACCAGTAATCACTGAAAAGATCTGTTGACAATGAACAATGTGTCACTCTGCCCRAAAAGGACCAGCAACAAAAGAAACGTCCAGAACAAGCAGCTGTGACACGTTCAAGGAAACGTCACATCAAAACAATAAACTGCCCTCAAATGCTGAAGGGCAAAGTCAACACAGAGAGGAAAAAGGTAAAGATACACACTTGAAATTTTTTTCCAACACTCAGAAATTTGCTCCTATTCATTGTAATATCTAAGATAAATATCTTTAAAAAGGTCAAACTTTCATTAAGAGGCAAGAAAGGTCGAGCAGTAAATGCCGAATGACTGAAATTTGATGATGAACTTAAGCTGAGCAAAAAGCTAAAAGTAGAATAAAGTAGAAAATCACAAAAAACCTGGAAGTAGCTAAATGCTTGCCAAAAGCTAGAAGTAGCATCAATGCTGTCTAGAAGCAAAATGTTATCAAAAGCTAATTAAAAGTTAATGGTAGCAAAAAGCTAGTTTATTGTATTATTCTAGCTAAAAGGTCAGAGGTTGTGCGATATAGCTAAAAGTAGCAATGMTAGCTAAAATTGCAAAACACTAGCTAAAAGTCACACATCGCTAACAAAGTAGCAAAACCGTACATAAAAGCAAAATTAGCAATATACTAGCCGAATGCTACAAGTAGAAAAACAATAATTGAAAGCAAAAAATAGCAAAAGGCCAACCTAAAGTTAAAAGTAGCAAAATGCTATCTGAATGTCAAAAATAGCCAAATTCTAAAAGCTAAAAATAGCATGCAAAAATGAAGAAATATGCTAAACTAGATATTAAAAAGAACAACGTTTCAAAGAAATGAAGAGATCTCAGTTACTCTTTATGAGAATTCTTTTTGTAAATAAGTGTATATGTTTTGAAAAATATAAAAGTTGTAAAATAACAAAAATCATTTCAAACAGTTCTTAATCAAGCAGAATGACTTCACAAGTAAAGAGTTAAAGTATGTATACATACATACTTTAACTTACAAACTACTTAAACATGTTTAAGTAGTTTAAGTCCAAAAAACACAGAAAAAAAAAGCTGCAAGTTCAGTTCACTGACGCCTTCGCAGCCACACATGACTGCTGCCGTCTGATTGGTTAGCTACTGTCAGTGGAGCACACCTGTAAGTTCACCTACTGCTTAATTTCTCACAGGTGTCAGAGGCACCAACCTTCAAGCAAACATTAGTCCTACTAAGAAAGGTGAGTTGGGGAAAATCCTCATCAAGTAACTAACTGAAGTTAAAGGTAATAGCTTTTGTTTTCTAAATTAACTTTGGCAAAATTTCTTTGTCTAATGAAAACAGGGCCTCCTGTATCATTCCTCAACCCACCGGAGAAGATTGAGGCTCGAGTGGGTGAGCAGACTCGGCTACACTGTGAGTTCAAGAGCGCCTCTCTCCCTGTGGCCTGCTGCTGGATTTACAATAAACGCAAAGTAAAACTCTTACAAACTGATACGATTTAAGAGTTAATCCATTTGTGTCCGCCAGTTCTTAAAGCTCCTCATCCTTTTGTTGWACTCCTCTGGCCGCCTCCCTCCAATTCAGGTGGTGGCAGGAGGCCCTCGGATTTCAGTTCAGGGGACGAGGACCCAAAGCAGTGTGGAGATCTCTCAGGCCGTCCCAGAAGATGCAGGCTTGTACACTGTAGTTGTCCAGAACAGACATGGATCTGCTCAGCACACCGTGTCCCTCAGTGTTGTAGGTGAGGTTTAACTGCATCTTTCCAAGTAAATAAACTAAACTTCTTGTTGCAAACCACCAAACCAGGACTAATGGTATAAACATGTTTAATTTGGGGAAATGTCACTTTAGCATCTTAAACTGGCAATAAAAGTTTCTCCACGTTTGTTTGTCTTGTCTTCTCAGACCGACCCACTCCGCCATCGTCCCAGCCCATTGTTTCCAGGTTGTCGACCCAATCCCTGGTTCTCTCCTGGACCGGCCCCAGCTACGACGGAGGCACAGCCATCTTGGGATACATTGTAGAGGTCTGCCGAGAAGTCCCCAACAAGCCTGAGGGCTGGACTGAAATAAGTAGATGTAAAAACACATCGTTCCACATCCACTCGGGCCTGGAACCTCTGGGACAGTACCGGTTCCGCGTCAGAGCGTACAACCCCGTGGGGATCAGCGAGCCGAGCCAGGAGTCTGACAGTGTCAAGATGGCAACTGGGAGTGAGTGATAAGCTGGCAGAAATATGTTTTTGATGTGACTATTATTTTATTTTTTGTTTTTGTGTTTGTGCCTGAAGAGGAGAAGAAACAAGAGCCGGAGTCATACATTACTGTGACCATTGACACCAAACACAAGGTCAGGGATCACTACAACGTGCATGAGAAGCTGGGAGTGTAAGCAAGGGTTTTATTTTAACAAGCTCACATCCTAACCAGTCCTCTTGGCTGGGTTTCTCACAATGCTTCTCCTTCAAACAGAGGAAAGTTTGGCGAGGTGTACAGATTGACCCACAAGGAGACGGGTCAAGAGGGTGCGGCCAAGTTCTACCGAGCTCGAACCTCCAAGGACAAGTCGGTGGCTCGCCAAGAAATCCAGTTAATGAACAAGCTCCACCACCCAAAGATTGTCCAGTGTCTGGCTGCCTACGAGACTCGCTCTGAGATGGCCATGATCATGGAGTAGTAAGAAATCTTTATTTGGTTGTCTTGATGTGAGTTTCAGACATTGGTAGTGGTATGTAACGAGCAGTGCTATGACCAGCTGGGTGGGGTTTGAGAGGACAGGAATGAGATGATTGTAGCTTCTATGGGAAGGAAAACGACAACAAGAACCTCCCCCTACACACACACACACGCAAACACGCACACACAGTTTCGCCCAGCTATACATTTAGGGACATCCCATTGACTTCCATTACATTTCTACAGCCTAAGGCTAACCTCACAGGTACCTTCCTGACCCTAAAACCAACCCAAACTCAATTCACACCTTGGTCTTAAACCCAACCCCCAACCCACCAATGGCATTTAAACCAAACGGGGACTTGACTTAGGTCCCCAAATGCCCCAGTTGTCCCCAAAAAAGGCGTTTTGTCTTAAAATTGCCCCCAAATGTCACCAAAAACAAACACTCGCACGCACTAAAGATGGTAATAATGGTAAATACCAACACGAGCAAGTAGAGACGGCAGCAGAGGAAGGAATGCGATCAGTTTTGTCCTCCGGCAGTTTAAGCCTCCAGCAGCATAACTGATTACTCAGGAAACCCAGGCCAACACTGATTATAGGATTTTAAAGAAAAGAAAGTGTCCCAGTCTTAAAAGCTGAAAGAGTCTCRGCTTCAAAGACAGAAACCAAAAGTTCGGCAGGAGAAAATGCTGTTAACTGACAGTTACCATGCAAAACTCTAGGAATCTCCTAAGTGGCACAATCTTGGATCAACTAAAGGTTTTAAACATCCTGATGATGAATTACAACAGTCCAGCCTGGAAGTGATCAATGCATGGATTTTCCTGCGTCATGATCCTGAGCGGCTGTTTTTTGTCTCTGTAGCATCGCAGGCGGCGAGCTCTTTGAGCGCATCGTGGACGACCACTTCGAGCACACGGAGCCCACCAGCGCTCGCTACATGAAGCAGATCCTGGAGGGCATGCAGTACGTTCACCAGCAGAACATCATCCACCTGGACCTCAAACCGGAGAACATCGTCTGCGTGGACCACAGAGGGACGCAGATCAAGATCATCGACTTTGGCTTGGCCATGGAACTAGGTGAGAAAACTACATTGATTGCGGCCGTGATAAGATCAGGGAATGTCTGAATTCCTGGACGGCGTTTGAAACAAATAAAAGCTGCTTGAGCTCAGTAAAGGTAGACAAACCTGTGAGGCTCATTGTAGCAGAACGTCTGACTCTGATTTGAATCAGTGTGTCAATGAATGGTCTGTCTTTTTCAGAGAAGGGTAAACCAGTGTTGGTGATGCATGGCACTCCGGAGTTTGTGGCCCCAGAGGTGGTCAACTATGAGCCCGTGGGGTTGGAGACAGACATGTGGAGCATTGGAGTCATCTGCTTCATCTTGTAGGTTTAGTTACAGAAGGGTGCTTGTTTTTACTTTAATTAATCCAAACAGAACAAAATACTTAAAGACTTTAGGCTATATTTTGTTTAAACTGCCAGTTTAGATTTCTTTGTCATGTTTGAGAGTTATTACTGTTTTAAAATGGCAGATTTAGCGCCATCTGCTGGTTTTGTCCCAATATATTCAAGATCAGTTTTTCTGTATTCCTTTGAGGAACTGCAGGCCTATAACTCATTCTGTCTTGTCATCCAGACTCAGCGGAGAATCCCCCTTCCAAGGAAACAACGAAGCAGAGACTTTAGCTCTTGTGACCGCTGCCGAATTTGAGTTTGACCCTGAGAGTTTTGAGGACATCTCTGATGAGGCCAAAGACTTTATCAGCTCCCTGCTGAAAAAGGATCGAAGGTTTCACTGACCTATCTGTTTTTTTTCTTATTGATTGCATCATCTTGCAAAATCAATCAGACAAACTGTTCTGTATTTGTTTACTTTAACTCCAGAGCCAGGCTGTCGTGCACAGCGGCCCTCGCCCACTCCTGGATGGCTTCTTTTACCCCTCTGACCTACAGACCCTCCAAATCCCTGAGGAAAGACAAAATGAAGCGCTTTCTGGCCCGGCGCAAGTGGAAGGTATCTAACTGAAAATTTCGTAACTTTAGGATAGATTTTTTTATTTTTATTTTAACTTTTAAGAAATAAGACTTGGAGCTTTGCTTGTTAGTCATGCAGTGCTGCTTTTACATTTTTTTTCTTTCAACCTCCAGAAAACTGGCCAAGCTGTTTTGGCCCTGAAACGGTTCGCTAACCTCTCCAACAGGCCAGACTCTCCTGGCTGTTCCTTTGAGGGTAACGGACACAATGTGCTCCTCCAACACAGATCTGCATCCATACTGTGACTCACAGTTTTGAGATGTCACTTTGAGTTTACACACTTGTGATCAGTAAGGCCATTTTTAAWTTTTTTTTCCTGCTTTCTTTCCCTCCTCCCTGTCTGATCCAGAGCCAGGCTGGAGCCAGGAGGCAGAGGAGGCCATCCGGTCGCTGGACAAGCAGCTGCAGACTGAGCCGCGCTTCCAGGAGGCCCTGAAGGACGTCAGCCTTCCCAAGGGAGCGACTGCAGAGCTGAGCTGCCGTGTTGATGGTAGGAGCATGGCTGCGACAAACTTTATAGGTCTCAAAAAACACTTTTACAGAGAAAGCAGTGACTTAGACACATGTTTTGTTGTTTGGTGAAAAAAAAACACATTTTCAGTTTCCTGCTTTTTCAAGTGCATTTCGATACCTGGATCATCCTGATATCATGAGCATCCAGGGATATGCCTTGATTTGTTTTCCTGATCAGGATAACCCATTATTTGTTTTGAATTCTATTTTTAAGCTATTCCGAGGAATTTTTGACATTTTAAAAACGTAACCTCAATAATCTGATATTAAGATTTGTAAGCTTGCAGGGAAAAGGACAAACATTGAACATTTTTGTGCCCAAAATCATGTTTTTTTAATTTTATTTTTTTTGTTCATGGCCACTACTCAAAACAAAATTCTGTAGGATCATATTTCAGATATTTGATTTAAACGACCCACAGATGAGGTATTTAATCATATTTTGACAGAATGCAGTTGTTGCAAACATTTTATTCAATGCACTACAGCCAGTGCTGTATAAAGTACCACAAAGTGATACTTGAGTTAAAGTACAAGTATCTTACCAAAAAATTACTTTAGTAAAAGTTAGTCTTTAGGAATATTACTTGAGTGAAAGTCTTATAGTATCTGATACTTTTTGTACTTAAGTAAAAGTATTGATTTAAAATGAGCAGTTAGATTTTCTGTAATGACATTTATTAGGAGGTGACTCCCAAAAAATGCAGAAATGACTGTTGTATTAAAATTAGTAATTTATGTTAAATTTAAGATGCACTAGTCGAGCTGTTTCAGTTTATATACATATATCAAGGCTGCTCAAACCTTTTCTCCAAAATGAAAATCTGAGGGCTGAGGCCAAATGTAATAATATATTTCATGAAATACAAATACTACTTAAGTACAGGCCTTTTATTTTAATGTCCTGCTGGAGTGTGACATTTGTTTGTGTACAAATTAATAGGGTATCAGTTTTATATATTTATACTCCTTATTCAACCACAGTTAAATTCACTCTATCTAGGAGGCACAATTTACATGGATAGTATTTATTTTTTGTAATTAGCTGGAATGAAAAGAAGCAAAAATGAAATAAAAGTAACRACTTTCTACTACTTGAATTTTTTTACGTAAGGAGTAGAAACTACAGAATTGTGTGAAAATGTAAGTAGAAGTAAAAAGACTGAAAAATAATTACTCAAGTACAGATACCCAAAAAATTCTACTTTAGTACCCAAAAAATTCTACTTTAGTACCCAAAAAATTCTACTTTAGTACCCAAAAAATTCTACTTTACTTAAGTACAGTAACAAAGTATTTGTACTTGCTTTACAACTCTGACTACAGCTTTTTTTTTTCACCTACCACTTTGACGTAATCCTCAGTTCTTTTTGATGGCTCACATGTGTACTAAAAATGAAAAATGTAACTTCATCCATGCATTTTGTTTTGAAACAACAACAAAAAAAAATTGAATGAATAGAATGCTCAGTAGTGGGCCAGAAGTCCCATGTTGAAACGGCCTCTTCTGGCCCATCGGGCCATTTTTAGTGTGTTTAAAACATTCAACCTTGTTCCTTGTGACCTACTGTCCTGCATGTTTTCTAGTTTCCCAGCCAACACCTAACTGAAATGAGTAATTGACAGGCTTCTGCTAAACTTGATGGCATTTGGAGTAAACGTTTAAATCAGGGCGAAGCAGGGAAACGACTCAAACATGCAGGACAGATTACAGATCTCTATGTAAGGGGTTGGTTGTGTTATTTGCTGACATTTTCCTCCATCCTAGGGTACCCTCAGCCAGAGGTGCAGTGGCTTCATGACGACCAGCCGCTGTCTGACCCCAGCAGGGTGTCGGTGCAGCAGCTGGAGGACGGACTCTGTTCTCTGGTTCTGGCTGATCTGACGCCCTCCGACTCGGGGGTCTACGTGTGCAGAGCCAAAAACACGCTGGGGGAAGCGACGTGTTCTGCCAAACTGAAAGTAAAGCTGTAGGATGCGAGCGGGCAGATGGTTTCCTTTTATTATGGTGGAACACAGTACCGGGACACATGTTCACAGGCACACAAACGGATGCTTTTCCACTGCACAGCACGGGCGGCCTTATTGTCTTCAAATGTTTAATTTTACCTACTTTTTTTTTTTACACATTTTCAGCTGTTTGTACACTTTGCATCTTGAATATGCAGCTGCACTAATAGTTTTTAAACTATAGTTTAATGTGCTTTTTATATATTGGTCACATTTTTAAGACATTAAAATTAAAGGCAAACTTTTCAGGAAATGTTTTGGCTCAATAGTTTGTGAAATGAGGGAAGAGAGACGTAGTGATAGAAAAGTTTTTTAATTTTATGTTTGTGTCAGCGTTGAAAGCAAGATGACAGTTTAAAAACACTAACTTGTTTCTAAAACTACAAATAAAACCGTATTTCCATGTTTTGTAAACATTTATTAAATTTGATGTGGCTTGTAACAAAACACTCTGCTCAACGAGGCTTTCAGGGTCTTATGGACAAAGTGGCGCTGAAATGTTTTGGTGAAACTTGTGGTTCTGTTGCAGTTGGCTCTTAAAATGAGCAGAAAGACTAATTTCTGATTGTACTAGAGTTTCTCTTTAAATGTCCTTGTTTCAAATACTATTTAAAAAATAAAATAAAAAGATATTGGCTAGCTTATGTAAATCTTTTAATTTACATTATCTCAACATTAGATGTTAGAAGATTCAATATTTCCCCAAAGGCTGAAACTAAAACAAATTTGAGGCTCTCATAAAATGAATTCCTCATTAGCGAATGCCCAATTTAAAACAAATCTAAAGATTTTCAGTTGAATTAATATGATCTGATGAAAATCTCACATGCTTTAATTAAAAAGATCCACAATTTATTTTAAAGTTCATCTTTTCTCCCCACAATCCAACTTCATATTAAAAATAGATGAAATTAACTAGGCACTAGGTCTTGATCAAAGAAAGGAAATAATTTTCAGGATATTTTGCAGTAGTTTCATGATTCTTTACATTTTTTCTTTTAAGGCAGCGTATCTTTATTTGGATTAGTCATTGATGCACACGCGTCCCTAGGCCTGACAGATGCTTGTTCTGTGTGCGTGAGTCAGGGCTGATGTGATGCAGAGACCCAGACATCTTCTATAGTCCTTRGGCTTTCTGTTGGATTCTCTTCTGAAGAAGATGCCAAGCTTTCAGAACCTAAAAAAGAAAAAAATCTTTAAAGTCTGTAATAAATGTAAGAAACCTACATATGGTGACTGTGCTGACATCTGACCTGTTTCTGAGTGACCTCTGACTCCCACAGAGTGCTCAGCACTACATTAGCGTGCTCCACTTGTTTGCTGTTCGGCCACTGGCTCTGCAGCCGGCGCAGGGCGTCTTCTGTGCTAACGCCATCACGCTCCGTTATCCTCAACACCGCCTGAGAACAGAAGGCAAACGGATGAGCTAGAACGTCCATCTGTAACAACTCTGGCGCACTCTAGTGGTGACGCTTAAGATTTACAAATAAAAAAACGCATAATACAGATTTTTAAATCAGTTTGTTTTTGAAAGATGYAAAGAAAGATGTTTGTGTCGTGTGAACACATCACCTCCTCCTCGGGGATGATGGCGACCCAGACCTCGTGGACCAAGTCGGTCCAGCCGGCCTCTAGAAGAACAGCTGCGTCCACCACACAGACCTGCTTCCCTGCAAACAAATACTGTTATCACCTTTACAGGGAACAGGATAGAAGTGAAAACGGCTTGAAGAGGATCCAACACGCAGCAGAAGTCTGTTCTGAGTCCAACAGCCAGTTTATCCCTTTCTTTTCCCCCAACCACTTTACTCATGAACTAAACCTTAGTTTACAAACTTCAGTATTAAAGCTCAGTGTCTCTCACATCCAACTGCACAAGTAGCTGTTTAAATTCTCCAATTTAGATCTAATAAGATAATCTTGCAGTTTTAGTTGTCATATTTAAATACGTTTTTTTTAATATTTCTGCAAATTTCAGTCACTTAAATTTGAGACAAAGCTGCTGCATGATGGGTCTTTTAGTTTGTTACAGTGTAACAACATCTGAACTCCTCAGAACTACAACACACACAATGCATGAAAAAAAAGATGATGGAAGAAGATGGTGCAAATATAGGGTTGTATATCAATTAAGCATTCAAATATTCTAATAAGCTTAAGTGCAAAAACCCAGAGAATTTTAACACAAAAATGATGCAGCGCTGAGGAAAACAAAAGTAAATTCAACCTATACCTTCATCTCTGGCTTTGTTGATTCTTTCCTTCACCAGCAGTGCGATCTCAGGCCACACGATGTCCGTTAAAGATTTTAAACGCTCCTGCAAACAAACACATCGTCTTAGGTAGGGCGCAAAAACATCAAAAACATAGCTCAGTTTTTCTGTRGGACAGATTACCTGGTTCCCGAAAACATTTTTACCTAACGCGCGCCTGTTGATGCTTTTATCCTCGTTCAGAATTTCTAAAAGACACAAAGGGAACACGTTACGTCAGTCCTCACAGTGTTGTCATCCTGTGTTTAATCAACAAGGTTGTCTGATACGTCACAAACACAGCTGATGTTTTCCTACCTGACCCAAACTCCTGCAGCACCTTGTGATAGGCCTGCGTGCCGGGCTGGTACACCTCGTGACCCAGTTTGTCGCAGTCGATCCCGACCGCGCCGAGAGCCTCCAGCTGTTTGACGATGGAGCTTTTGCCGCTGCCGCTGCCTCCTGTCAGACCAATCACGTACGGAAGAGGAGGGAGGTGGGATTTGTCCTGGCGCAACGGAGACAGGAGGTAAAAACAAACRCCGCAGCGCTGAAACGTGAGATTTGTAAGACGGAAAAACAACTGGTTAAAACAAGTCAGACCTGCTCAGGATCTCCACCGTAAAGATCCAGAAAATCCAGATCAGATAACYGGGGATAAAGAAAGTGAGCTTTGTTTTTAAGCACGTAGCAACTCACAACACAYTAAACTCTGCAATTTTTATTGATTGTGGTTGTCAGATGATTGGTAAAAAGGTTCCTTTAAATGCTAAAATGTGCATTTTGAATATTTATCCTGAAGACTTTGTTATCCCAAACAATATGAGATCCTTACTTAATGTCTCCTTTTTGGAAGCTAGACGCTGTATTGCATCCTCATGGAAGAAGGAGACATTATGTGGAATTTCACAATGGASTACTCAAATGACGTTCTATTTTGCACTTGAGAAAATCAGTTATTTTACTAAGAACAAACTTGATAAATTTTGGGAAATCTGGTCTGTCTTTCTTAATTGGCTGGACCAAAATTATATCCAACTAGATGGGTGGAAAAAGGATTTATTATRAGGTCATATGATGAGTTATACTGATGTTTATGTTGGTTGGTCTATTGAGGGTTTGCTGCTAACTTATTTTATTTTATTTATTTATTTATTTTTTCCTTCCCTTATACATATGTCTATTTGGTTTGTTATGTCTGGCTTTATAATTTAAGWATGTATGCGTGAATATTTGTATCTGTCTTGTTTTCTTGTTAAAATCAATAAATATATGTTTAAAAAAAACTGCAATTTTATCATTCAGAGAAAGGRAGAGGATAAATATGCTGCTCAGAAAAGGAAAAAGTCATGATTATGAATCTATGTCCACTTTTTGCTCATTTCTTGCTAAAAAAATCAGTTTTTAAAAGGAAAACAAAGTTTAGCTGACTCATTTGGATTTAATGTTTTTGCTTCAGTAAGCAAATAAAAAAGAATCAATTTGAATAATTAATCAGTTTTTTCCCAAAAGAGGAACCATTTCTTCAGGGGATTTTATTTTTCTCTTTTTATCCCCTCAATATAAATAAGCAACAGTCAATAAAAGGGCATCAAAAAGCAACAGTGTGAGTGATGCTCTCACATTAACCTGCTCTGACATTAAAAAGCTATTAGAAGCCCCTGGTAGACAAATAAAATGTGTTCATTATAAAAGCAGTTCTGTCTGTTTTATTTATTTTTTAACCTATTTTTGAGTTTGACAAGTAGTTAATTATTTTAAAGTGCTTATTTCTTACTTCTGCCACAACATTTCCACTAAGTTAAGCTCAGGAGTTGAACTTTACAGGACACTTTGTTTGGTTGATATTTTTGGTAAACAGCCTTAGATGCTTAGAAGTTACCCTGGGTTTATTTATGAACGATTGCACATTTTATTTAATCTTTTCACACAGTTTGATGACCCAGAAAACCTGACACTTACTTTAGGTGGTTTGAGGAGGGTGCCCAGCAGACGAGAGCGCAGACTGGAGGAGCTGATCTTCTCCTCCTCGATCTCATTGCGGTGGGCGTCTTTAAGCAGCTGGATCTCATGAAGGACGAGAGGTGGAAGGTCCTGGTTTGCAAAGCAGACAGCAAAGCTTATGAAATACGCGCTGTTTGTGTTTACAGGTAGACGTTCTGACCCAAACTTACATTCTCTATGCGTTTCTTGTTGACAGCCTCGCCTCCCTTTCTAGTCTCCTCGCTAACCACAATGCACTTCAGCTCGGGGTCCACTATAGACACTCCGAAGGGGTCTACGAGAGGCACGATCTCCACCCGCAGAGAGGGTTTGGTGTCCCGTAGAAACTCCTGCAGCTTCTGCACTCGCACMGAGTACGGCTCGATCAGCTCCTTCAGGACTTTTTCTAAAACCAGAGAGAAAAGGAAGTCTGGAGAACTGGCTTCTGCTTTTAGGTTTCCCCAAACCTAACGTGAGAGAACTGCACATGAACTGGTACTCACTTTTAAGCATTGCTTTGTCGCACACGCCAATGACAAACCTTCKATTAGCCAGAAGACAGGAAATGCTGAGTAGTGTCCTGTGGGCTCCGTGCAGCCGGTCAAACGTCCCCCCTACCACCACATCACTGTACGTCTCCAAAGGKTCGGCCTTTTCCTCTTGATTTATCTGAGGGCTGTCTTTTTCCTCCTGCTTTCCGAGATGCGCGGGAAGCAGGACTGATGGGATACCGGGCCTACAGATGTAGCAGTGACCGGCGTACTTCTGTAAACTCTGCGTGACCTGATGGGACTGATGTGGGTCCTGGAGCGCAAAGTCCGTCAGCACCACCTCCGGGGAGTGAGACAGAGGCTGYGGYGTGGGGAAGGGCCCGCCGGGAGTCGCCGCCGCCCCGCCGCAGGCTCGCACGTTCGTCAGCAGAACGCGAATGTCCAAGTGCCCGCACACGTCCGCTGCGTTGCTGTACAGGCGAGTGATGAGCGAGGACAGGTCCACCACCGGGGGGATGAAAACCGGCCGAGGCTGGCTCCCGCCGCTCAGGTTCAGCCCGGGGTGGAGGTGGACATACAGCGTGCGGTCGACGAGCTGAGCGGCMGAGCTGAGGACCGGAGCGATGCGTAAAGAGAGGGTCGGGAGGGGAGATGTCAGCACAAGGATGCCTGTGCTGAACATGTTAGTCCCTGATGTCCGGGTAGTCAAGAAGTCCCTGAAAGATACAGAGATACATGAAATTTTCACCAGATGTCGGTAACAACCCAAGTGATCCATACATACAAAGAAATCAAACCATAAATGTCCAGAAATGAAGTTATTTGTAATAATGTGGAATGGCACAGGGAAAAAGTATTGAACACATGAAGAAAGGGAGGTATAAAAAGGCATGGAAAGCCAAGACACCAGCTGAACTCTCTCAGTAATTAGAAAGCAAGCCTGCCCCTTGTCAGTGCAAGTTAATATCAGCTGGTTCAGTCCCAAATGATGACCAGGTATCACACAAGAACCATCTGATGATGGGTAAAACTAAAGAGCTCTCTCAAGACCTTCTTCACAACCTTGTTGCACTTGGGTTGTTACCGACATCTGGTGAAAATTTCATGTCATTAGCACCTCTAGTAATATATTTACTGAGAAAAATGGTGACGTGTTCAATACTTATTTTACCCSYTGTATATTAAAAGATTAAACATTAAACAAGTTCGGATACTAGTAACAKTTACAGGTGTTATTTAATACTTTGGACTGGAAGAACAATGATTTACAAACTATGTCAACAGAACTGTTATTCTGTGGAAACTCCARCCTGCATTTTATCCCTGATTCAATCAAAAGCTTTAATGAACTTAAGTGACTTTACTTCCTCATTTAATTCATTTTAACTACTGATACCCCAAGCGTGTTTATRACCAGTACCTTTAACTGTGAGTTACTAACTTACTAGCTAGCAAAATATGTTTTTGATTAGCCATAGCGGCTAACGCTTGAACAGGATTGCGTTTCTTATCAGAAAATCTGCAGATTGAACTAGAAGTGCAGAGCTAGCTAGCTAGCTAATGCTACAAATAAGAATACGAGCAAAACGTAGCGACGACACAAAACAAAATAAGCTAAAAGCGAGCAGGACAGTATTTTCATTGAGTCAGTAGATGCTAATTTATGTACAGTTTGGATAGTTTTCGTTGCGGACATCATCTTTTATGGCCCACAAACTCAAGTGCAAGTCGTTTTGAGGCATGTAAAGATACTTAAAATTTAACAGCGGCTTACCTCTGATGAATAAATCTARAGCAGGATGGAAAACGGACGGGTCGTGCAGTAAAGATGAACAACTTCACTCATATTTACTAGGTAGATTATCTGACAACTGGAAAACTGTGGACGCTACGTGATCCGCATCATTTAGTTAYCGGCGCAACGAGTGGGCGGATGTCAAATGGTCTGAATGAATAATGTGGTGGGTGTTCTTTTGTGCTTACTTAACGTTACATTTCTATTGTCAGTGGTTCCTGTTATAACAAACTTTATTATAGCTGACAGATGGTCCAAGTCGTCCAATTCARACGTTTTTGCCTTTGTTCAACACGAAAAAAAAAATTCGCATACCGCCCATCAGATTCTTGCTGTTTCATCTCCGGGTAAAATAAAAGGAGCGATGCTACGCACACGTGAACTGGGGTTGGATRATCACGTGACAAATTCGGAACAACGTGATTCGTCAAAAGAATCTAGCGTGTTAGTGGCTGGGAATTGTGGGATACGTAGTCCTCTTGGACACGTGAGAAGTTCTGATGCCCCAAGTAAAGATATATTTACATTTTGTGAAGGGTTACAGAAAATACTAGAGAGGCTGTTCAGTTTTATTACACCAAAAGATTATAGTAAAAACATGTACGGTTTACTCATAACATAAAAGGCAAGTCTCGTTTTTATGGGCAGCTGAGTTTTCCTAATTTAAATGYCAGTCTGTCACATACATTTAAGGGTTAAACCTGCTGGTGATGTTACTTTTAAAAGAAAAGGCTTTATTGTAAATAGTCTGAAAGTTCAATTAGCTTAGAGAGAGAAACTGAATTAAAAGAGTAAAGTACTAGAAGAGCCATAAGGCATTTATTCAGCTATAAAGCGCAGAGATTATTTAGCTAAAAATTGTTCATGCATTTCCAGCTGCTCGACAGGCAATTTCATAAAAGTTCAGTAGCAGTTTCATAGCAGGCACTGTTGTTTTTTTCTTCTACACAATTTATTATTTTTTTAAGCCTGGGGCTTTTCAAAAACTCAAGTATTATAACAAGAAAATTTAAAGCAATTACAAAAGCTGAGACAAACAGCCAGTCGTGTGGAAGGTTTTTCTTTTTTATAATCAGCAATTTATACTTTGAGGCAAACAATTTCTTTTTACAAAAAAATAAAAAGTGTTATCTCCATTCTGTAGAAAGAGTTGCATTATGAAGCCCTGCGGTTAGCTGGGCAGAGGCATTGCATAAGTAGAAAAAAAAACAACAACAAAAAAGTAAGAACAAATTCAAGTAAAGAAAAAAAAAGTCACAATTATAATGAAGTCACATAAAAGCCTGTTGGCAACTGTTGAAAATTAAGACTCTTGTTGGGTAGGTTTTTTTGGTCAGAGAAGTCAAACTAAAYCCTCTCACAAACTGCTCTTTTCTAGACATTTAACAGCAAAATGCTCAGTAAGACTTAGATGCAGCCTTAGCAATGAAAAGTTTGAGCATATTTAATCAAAGGATAAAATTATTTGAGGCTGCAGCCTCAGGCGTGACATCTTCAGTAGACAAACATTTATAAACACGGACAGAAAGTTTCGGTCCGGCTCCTCTGCTGACACCTTAGTTTACTTTCTTATCGCTGGTGCTTTCGCTGGCAGCCRTGTCGTAATGGCACTTCTCAACGCATCTCCTTGGAAACCATCCTCGTATGCGTTCTCCAGCTGAAAATAAATAAATAAAATAAGAGTGGATCACAACACAACATCGAGGCTAACTGCTGAGCATTTCGAGCAGGAAAAGCTTTTCGTTTTTTACCTCTCAGTTTCTCCTCRTTTAAAACTTTGTCTCCATACATCCACCATCTACAAAAACAAAACGTTACCACAATAAGAGGATAACTATTTATCTATTTATTTAGAAATTTATTTATTTCACTAAAAATAACTACTCCGACTCTTAGATAAATGACTTCAGTAGGATTTTTATTTGGGTGTATGTAAACGTACTTTGTGCCACGGGTGGCCAGGATGATGTCCCCTTTAACCAGGGGGATCCTGGGCTCCTCGGTGCAGGGGGTTCTGAAAAAAGTTTGGATGCCCTTGTTGAGTGGGCAGCAGGCTCCATTATAGTCCTCCACTACCTGGTACTGGACCTGCTGGTCAAGGCAAAAAATAAAAATAAAATAAAATAAAATAAATAAGATTATTATTATGCTCTGGTTATTATTTTATTGTAATTATTTTACACAAAAAATCAGTTATTGGACTGATCAGACACGTCATTATGAGCTTACACATTAGTCTCGTTAGTCTGATAATACAATGAGCTGCAAGAATAATGTATAAATGTATAAAATCTCATAGCCGGTATTCAAGAATGACCTAGTACACATTTAACAGGTACTTACACTTCTTACTCGTTTGTCAGCTTTTTGCTTCAGCTGCTCTATCTGTGTAAAAAAAAAAAAAAAAAGGAATAAAGAAACAAAATTCAAGGTGAAACGATTGTTTCATTTTGTAACTTAAACACGTCATGAACCAAAACTAATACTTGATATAAAGTCAAAAGACACATGAGTGAACAATGTGTTAATAAAAAGCAAAACAATAACACAGATTATTAAACTCGGTGCCAAACAGAACCTACAGTTAAGGTGTGCTGGTGACACTTGGGATGAACCGGCCACTGAATGCCGTCCCCTTTGGGGGTCCCTGACCAGGTAAAGACTTGTTTAAAGTTCAGCCAGCGGCTGCCAAGGTCGTACGGGAAGATGAACTCCTCCCCTGTTTGGTAATGCTGTATTCTGTCTTTGGCCTGGTGAGAAAAAAAGAAAACAAAACAGGTTACTATGTGCAAAAATATTTAATCTATTCTAAATCTAACCAAGCAATAAGTCTCAAGTTGAATGCTGAGAATATGTTTCAAAAACAAAATACTCCAGTTAAAGAAAAACTAATTTCCTAGAAGTTCATGCAGTATCTCCACAACATTTTTTATACAGACATGGCATACATTTAAAAAAAAAAGTATAAAAAATATTCTGACCTTTTCCTCGATCCAGGATTCGATCGAGGTCTTATTTCGGATGATGACTTTTATCTGAAAAAGACACCAACTTTAATTATTGAAATGAATTTAAAATCTTTATGAATAGTAAACTCTGTGCATTTGTTGCTCCTTTACAGAATATAAAGCAAAAACAATGCAGTTTCAAACATTTAACATGAATTGTTGCGTCAGACTTTTCAAGCCTCCATGAATCTGACAAACCGATTACATGAAACCTTTACATATTTAGCAATTTTTTTAAAACAAAGTAAATTATAGATGAACAAAGTTTAAATACAGTAAAAATACAAAATGAAACAAAAAAAAACATGTTAACTGTTATACAGCAGTATATCTGTTGGTATACTGTAACACTGATCAGCTGCTGAAGACTACTTTTGCCTTATGCCTGGTTCACACGGCAAGATTTTAAAATTACTGGTGATTTTCAAACACTGAGAGACCCCACAAGATGATAAAATATCACGATATAACAGGTTTAGTCCTCCAGTGTGTGTTGTACAACCACACAGCAAAAACAACACTCACCACACAAAAACAGATTTCACTCGCCGACATTCAGACGGGAAATCTCGCGAGACCTCTCGAGATCAAACACGAGTTCAGAGTAAACAAACATGGCCGACGAGGAAGAAGCAACGGTGATTATTTGAAGACTATTTTTAACAGAGGAAAAAACAAAAAGCCCAGTCGATGTTTTCGGTGCATCATGGCAGTTTTGTCTTTTGGATTCCCCTCGGTGTTTACGTCACCCCGCTTTCTGATTGGCTACACGTCACATTCAACAGGCTACGAGCTCGTTTGTCCTCAGGGAACATCACACATGCTGAAATACTGCGCCAAGACAATCCAACATGTTGAATATGCCCAATTCGAGACCGGAGCAGTCCTGAAGTCCTTCCGAGCCGACTAAATCACATCGCACACACAGCAGGAATATCTAATAAGTTTATCTTTAGAGCCACCATGGTAATCAGAGCTTCCTTTTTATTGTTGGATGGGCTAAATCGGGCCAAAAATTGACACAATTATCTTGCCGTGTGAACCAGGCATTACAGTGTAAACAGAGCAAGCAAAATTTGAAAGATTAAGGCCAAATGATCGTCTCCCTCACCAAAAACAAAACACCTACCTGTATGAAAAAAAGCATTCCAACAGCAATGGTTGTACCCAGTGCCAAACCTAAGGCAAATAGTGTGGCAGCAAAAGCAGGCACACTGAAGGGCATGAGCGGCTGGAACTGACGAACAGCACTCATGTCAATCTTTACAGTGCTCCAGCCAAATGATATCTGCAGTTAGGAGAGAAAAAAAACTGCTTCAGGAGTTTTTCTAGAACTGTAAAAACAAAACAAACAAAAAGGAAGTAAAGGGCCCACCCACCCTCTCATACAGCTGTGTGTACATGGTCATGATGAAGATGATGGCAGCGTGGGAGCATCCCAGTGGAGCCAGCAGCAGGAAGCTGGTGAAGTAGGCATGGTTTAGGTGGCCACAGCAATTGTTGATCCAGGGGCAGTGGTGGTCCATCTTCATCACACACCTGAGGAACGGGAGGAAAAAAAACAAAACAAAATTAACTCATTTTTTAAGAGGGCATGAAGTAACATTTTTTATAGTTACAGTACAGTTGAAGGGTTGAAAGTCTTTACTTTCATTTATATTTACCTGTTACATTTTCGACAGTGGTGAGATCTGGGAGCTTTGTACCCTTGGCACACTCTGCAGTATTGTAGGTACAGGGAATCCTGTTGAGTCTCCTGTTTAAAACAATAAGTGTGATGTAAGCTCATCTGTATCACTGTATTACATTGTCAGGGGAAACTTTAATCGTAGTCTGTGTGTCTTACTGGTTTCCAGCCAAGAGGAATGTATCCAGGTCCAGCAAACATAGCATTGAAGTAGTTGTAGAGAATCAGCACAGTCCAGTTGAGGAGCATGATGAAGTTAATGCTGCCTCCTGTAGTATCTAGCGGCCAGTACCAGATAATGGAGTCTATAATTGCCATGGTTGAACATATAGCGATGACAGACAAAGCTATGATTGGACCCCAGTGGCACAATCTCCGAACCTCATGGAGGTTCTCAAATGTCACAATGGTTGACAGGAAATTCATTTTAAAAGGAAGTGTAGGAATATTACTTTGACTTTCAGGTTCCTGAAATGTACTGCTCCAAGTTCAACGTGCTACTATTTTCTTCTGCTACCTTGCAACGTTAGAAGTGCACAAAATGCACATGTTTTGTCTCTTCTGAGCACCCAGAAACTGTCCAGGCCTTCAGTCACTTGGACTCTCTGCGTCCCATTAATCCATGCCCCGGTGAAGACCAGCATCATCTCCAGCCAACATCTGAAGGACACTTATCCCTGTGAGAGTCTGACGTTCCTCATCTACAGGAAAACACATAATAATAAGGTTAACATGCTTTAGACATTTAGTACATGTCTTATATTCACGATACATCTTGTGCTGCTCTCATTTCTATTTCAAACAGGGSATGTATTTTTACTTTTTAAWTTTTTCTTGYRAATATTGTAGTACAATAATATCGACTTCTTAGTTTAMRTTTYAAAATTGATAAAGTAGCTTTCTGAGTTTAAAGCAAACACAATAGAATAAAAAACAAGTAAGCAAATAAAACTGAAAAAAAAAAATCAGTGAGTTCACTTGCATATTTCATTAATTAGCTACTGCTGCCAAGCTAGCTAATTTGTACCAGGAATAGAAACACATCAGAACTTCACGCACGCTTCTGTCAGCTGTTTATATAGTTTAAACAAATAAGACTAGTCTGGTTGAAAAGTCAACATTAGTGTGATTAAATGTATCTGTTTGTTTGAGAAATGACATTTCCGGTTTGGAGCAGCTGTTAGCAAACTATTTGTTAGCAAGGTTGCCCGCCAGCTTTACCAAGCGTTTCACACAGAACTGTTGCCAAAACCCGCAAAGAACAGACACGAAATATAAAACTATAAAAAAACACGAACCTGTGTACGCATTTAAAATGTTTTAGTGAGAAGTGGAAAAAAAAAATTACGAACCTGGTCACTTCCTTGCTTATGTCTTTGATTTCTCCCGTCTACAGGGYAGGAACGTTTATTCAGTACCTTACTTTGTTGTGTCTCCTTTACCAAAAYCCACGAAAGTTTTACAGATACTATTTAATCCAGGTAGTTAAATGATCAAAAACAATTTKAAGATACAGCGTATACGCCCGCGGAAACAAATAAACGCGTGCGGCAAACAGAACCTCTTAAAGAAACCTAGTTCCTTGTCGAGCACTTTATGTTGTAACACAAGGAAGACACTCCATTCGAGGGAGGCTTGTTGTTATTATTCTGAGGTGACTAACCAGCTGACAGTTCTCTGTTTAAGCCTATTCTTCAGGATGTCTTCAGACTTCGAAACCTAYGAGCAGGACTTTGGAACCATTACAGCCGATATAACTAATAAAATTGGCAGAATTCCTAAACTAAGTGGAGGTAAGAAAGACTAAACTTGAATCGTTAAGATGCTAGCTAGCTAATAATAGTTAGCCATCAAGTCTTAGCTGATATGGTAGAAGGCGATTTGTTGCGTTTATTATATATTTATTCATTAAAAAAAACATCTAATAGTGTGACACAATTATTGTGTTCTTGTTATTTATTTTAAAAATCACCGGTTGTTTGTTGTGCGTATAGTTTCAGCCAGTACCTACCAACATGGTTGTGATGCACAGTTCCACTTTTTTTTTTAATCTGAATTTACACGAATAAAGAAATTTCTTTTGACMATGACAGCTCAGCAGTTTACCAAGTTAATAATATTAAATGTTAATAGCTTATCCAACAGTATTAGGGATGTAATAAATGTCTCTTAAGCATTTTATTTTGAAGAGTCAGCTTTTGTCTTGGACTCTAAATGAAAAATTTAAGTATCTAGTTATTGATATGCCAGATTTTCTTGTCTAAAATCACATTTTTCCTAATTGCCAGTATTTATTAGATTATTTGGATGATGTTAAGATTGCCAAATAATATTTTGTAGTGGTACTAGTTATGCTGTTATTGCAGTTTTGTAAGCCAAATTACTAATTCCGATTCTTGAAATGTTCTGTTTTGATCAATTCTGACTTTATTTTAGTCAGTGGAATTACACAAAACATAATGATTATAAAAAGGCAATTATGCTCATGATAATACCTTTACAATAAAAACARATAGCATTTTCTTTAAAAAGGATTGGGTTAAAGAGATTTTTTCATTCCTTAACTAAATGGCTAATCATAAACTCCAGTTTACTGGTCARAGTGAATGCTGGTCCCAAATTAGATAATTTGGTGGAACAACTTTCAAAATAATTATCAAGTATCTTGCAAACTACCCATAAACCTCAAGTAAAGACAAATCTTAGCATTTTACATAGATGAACATCAGAAAACCAAATCTGCTGCCTTCTGTTGATCAAAGTTCAACAGCTCACTGTGTGAAATGCACTCTGACGTTTGGAGTAGGGTTGGGCATAATCGTATCGTGTGCAATTAATCGTCAGAAAAACATTAATCGATTATTTTTTGGCACTTGACGATTAATACGATTAATGCCACCAGGCAGACTGACTGGGGATTACTCCGGTCAGCCTGCTCGGTGCTCCTCTCTGCTTCAAATATGACCAATTTTTTTTTTAAAAAAGCTCTGTAATTTATTTACCTATTAGCACAATTTAAAAGTTGATGTATAGACTTAAGTCTGTAATTTTGACACAAATTGGAATAGATTTTTACAAAGAGCAAATCTTTCCCACTAAATTGGTCATGTGACTAGGACATAAGGGTGTCCAGGGACTCCAGGGGATTAATCGTCAAATTAATCGTTATTGGCTAAATAACACAATTAATCGTGATTAACTTTTTTGCCAATATTGCCCACTCCTAATTTGGAGTTTCTGCAGAGTGATGGCAGAGTGTGAAGATATGATTCTAAAAGMAAACWSGATATTTATTTCTTTGTTTACAGTRCTTCAGAAATAGTGGAYGTGTTTGCTCTCACATTTTGGTCTGTGCAAAGTTGTGTTTTTGTTTTGTTATAGTAGATCTCACATTTGTATGTATTTGCAGCACATAAAACATGTATTGCAAAAAAAAAAAGTCAAGGCTGCATCTATTGAATGTGTAAAACCAGCTTTTTACTCCACACTGCGGTGAGTTCTGAGATGTTTGGAAGCAACTGATTTCASTCAGATCTGCTGGATGAGCAGARGATTTATAACCATTATAGATKATCTCAAACATCTCTGGAGGTTTGTTTTCAAGCCAGCAAAGGTTGAACATTCAGTAAATCGATACAGCTTTTAGGTGGTTTGTTCATYGTGTAAAATAAGTGTGGTGTGGCACTCAAAGGTTGAGGTTTTAATTGAAGTTTACTTCTAAAGCAAAGACACCTCATCCACCCCTAATTGAATTAATRTAGAACCATCCTGATTTTTCATCATATAAAATGCACAAAATTATAATTTGCTTACAGTTTTACATTTACTATACCAGGATAATTCATGTTTTGACGTTTTATTTAAACACTTGGATTGTCGCACTCAGTTTTATATGGATGGATGCTAACATGTAAACAGGTTATTAATAGGGAACATAGGAAAAACAACAGCATGAAAACAGAATTTCAAGTAGTTTAAATGTTACGACAACTTGAAGTAAGACTAAAATACTAGACAAAATATCAATGCATTCTTGTTCACAGTTCATATCAATGTTTAAATTGAAGAATAAGCTCTTTCTTTTTCTCTCTCTTCTACTTTCTTCTTTTATTCTTTGCTTTACTTCTGTGTGCAAAACTTCTCATCTGTCTGTCAGCAGTTTGTGGTCTTGGTAAATAACCATACATATTTCACACCTCTCCAGCTTGAGTTTGAGAGACAGAGCAGCGTCTCACCTTTGTTTGAATCGCCTCTGGATGTTTACTGTGTAGGTTGCAAGGTTGGACACAGGTTTTAAAAATGAATTTGAGGACTGGCAAAAGGTAATCTTGGCCCATGGTGCCATAAGAAATTAAGACCTTTGCCTGGCCTTTCTTCCAAGGCTGCAGTCCCACAACTGGTAGCCTTGTGTTTTGCCTTTGAGCTTTAAGGTTTGTTGACTTTGTGTTTAAATTTTTAAGTGTTCTTGAATATTTCAGCAGGTTCTGCTTGTGATCATGGCTTTGTTTCATTTCAAATGTTTTTAATGGAATGACTGAATCCTGAGACTACTTCACAAGCGCATATCAGTTTTAAATTGAAAGGTTGTAAGGTGGAAAAAAAATAGTTGAAAGTTCTCTGCATCATCAGATTCAGTGGAAATGACAGTTTCTATTAATTTGCCAGGTGTTCAGTAGTGATGTTCAATGGGACATTGAAGAAGTTGAAAATTTAGTTTTTTAATTTTAGTTTTTGAGCTGGTAATCTTTTTATTACTTTGTGCTGAAAAGGAAAGATGGATGGTAATTTTTTTAATTCATGTCTGAGTGTGTGTGTGTGTTTGTATCGGTGTTTGGACATGCTTTGACATACTATGCTTATGAGGACATTTTGTCGTGGATACTTTATATGTGGATACGTGTTTACTTGGTCCACTCAGTGGAAAAAAAGCATTTGTGGGTTAGGGTTTAGGTATGAATGAAGTTCAGGTTAGGGTTAGTATTTACCTGTGAGGTCAGGTTTAGGGTAAGAGGTCAGGGTTAGGCTGTAGAAATTAATGGAAGTCGATGCAACAGGACTTGCCTGGTTATGTAACGATAAATAAATAATGGTAAATAAATAAATAATGCAAAACCTACACAAGTATACAGAGACGTGTGTGTGTCTGATACCAAAATGTCTCATAAAGCAGGACAGACTCTGATAAAATGTTGAATAGTTATTGAATTTATATCCACAAACTGACAACCTTTAGGAGTTAACCCGATTCAAGATGGCTGCCACAGCTAACTAACCATAAAAATGACAAAAATGTATGTAACTTAGTCAGTTTTAAAGATTTTTTTATTATTATATTATTATAGATATTTGATGAGATAGTAGCTAAGAGTAATTCCCAACAATTAACAGACTGTGCAAATTCATCATGTAAAATATTGCTAATTAGAGCCAACCCTGTTTGCCTGTTAGCAAAATGTCTCACGAACCACTGGACACATTTTAATGAAACTTTCAGCCAGTAATCATTAGATGTACATCTAAACCTGATTAACTTTTGGCTTTAACTCAATTCCAGATGGTTGGCTCTGCTAATTCACAGYGGCGGCTGGTGGATTTTTCTCCAGAGTAGACTACAACTTCAAAATAGACATATCTCAAAAAACAAGCAAACATGTACTAAGTTGTGTCATGCCAGTGTATTTATTAAACAAATGAAAACAATAAAAATTTGGCATTACAATGTCATGTAGTGTTTTATTTTTAGTAAATACATTTTTCCTTTCTGTACTCGAGAGAAGCAAATTTCTCAATGACTCTGGTTCAAATCAGGGATGTTTTAAACAGATTCTTCTCTATAGGGCTGAAGATGCGGCAAGCCATAAATGATCATAATTCCTCTCTCTGTCCTCCCACAGTTCATATAAGTGTATAAACAATAATAATGATGGGTCGATATTGTGTTTTTTTTTAACTCAATGATCAGTGTTGTGTTGTGTGAAGAGTCCGCGGAGGAAAAAAAAAATTTTTTTGTTAACAGTGGTGATGGGGAAAAGACGTGAAGATGAGCTGTGTGCTCATGTTCAACAGGATCAAACCAGCTGCTCTTATAGCTCTTTAACAACAGACTTCAGACAAATAAAGTCATTTTAAACAAAATAAATTGCAAGGAAGATCTAATCTGGTCCTGCGCCACAGCCATGCTTTGCTCCTCGTGAACAAAGACCCCCACAAAGTTCTAACCAATCACACGCTCCAAGCCGCAAGGTCCACATCGCAGAGTTCTGACTGAGGCCTGTTACTGGGGTTTAGCAGTGGGAGAGCAGACAGAAGTTATCCAGTTTTTTGTCACTCAACAAGGGAACAAGACGTGTGACTCAAAGTTTAAAACAAGCTTAAGTCTCCATGGTGCTGTTCAGTGCTGCTTCAGAGAACTGGCTGTGGTACTGCAGGAGTCTACCTGCACCAGTGTAGCACTGATCAGATGCTTTGTAAATGGCTCAAGATGGTGTCACAAACCTAAAAACATGAATGCAYGAGTTTAAATCACTCTGGAGATGGCTACAAGTGAGCTTTCTAATATATATTTAATACATAGAAAACAATTTATGTGTTAATTAAATAGCAACAAATTGTTGAACCTTTAAGGTAAATCATATATTATATTATATTATCCCTTTTTAATATGTGTTCACCATTATATAACTATAGCACTACTATCATTAATAAGCATTATAAAAGACATTTGGCTTTTTCTTACCTGTCTTAATCCATGTTGGGTCAGAGCCTGATGCTTGGGAGAATGAGGCAGAGAAAGCAAAACAAGCATTAGCCTTGCTACAAGTGGTTAGCTTAGCCTGGTTGCTAATCCAAGTCCTGGAAAAGGATCGTGTAAACAAACTTCTGTTGGGGCAAAACTTTCAGTGCCCCAAGACCATAAAATTCTGCGACACTGATTGGCCAATTTATTCTTTAATCTGCCTAGCAACTTTACGTGATTRGTTATTAGGCTTCACTCCTGGGGTAATCTGACCAGTGTCCCATGACAGAAACAAAACCAGTCTGTGGAAATTCACTGGTGAATGAACGTCAATAGGTGGGAAATATAGTTTATACTATTCATATTTCATGTAGGCACACACTGGTGGGTAAAACCAACATTTATAACTGGATTTATAAAAACACATTAAAAAAATATTTTACTGGTCCTAATCCTTTTTGTAGATATCGCATGAGAAATACTAGGTTCAATTTTTATTAGGGATTAGTGACATTTTAATAGCGAAGATGCCTTCAAATACCAGATTTGTTTACTTCACTTGAGGACAGTTTCTGCACAAACTCTTAGATAAGAAGTTTTGAAAAACTAAACAGAACTGTAAACCCTTCTAAAGTACACAAAATAATACAGCAACYCTGTCTCTGTGCATCTCACTGCAAGATTCTTGAGTTCCTCCAGATTTTTGTAACTCTTTGTGCTGCCAGTGAAGGTGAAGCTGCAAGCTTTGCCTTTAAGTTCTGTTTATATCTGCAGTCRTAGATGTACAGAGTCAGCAGGATGGGGCTGATTGCGTAACCCTTTCCAGGCTCAGGTGTACAGGAGGTGCAAGTCCCAACCTGAATTGTCAAATATCTGTTTGTAAAGAAGTCCAATTTCCAAATAGCAGGGGGGACTTTCTTGAGGGGAAAATGTATTGAATGTTGAGCTGAAATCGACAAATCGGGTTTTTCAAGTAGAAGTTATTTTCGGAGAAGAGCTTTGGAGATCCTCTGTGGATCCGTTGGCTCTCGTTGCCCATTGGCTGGCGGCCATTTTTGCTCTGTTCTGTTTACTGGAATGGAATCTTTGATATACTGAACAATCACAAGGTGGGAGACATTAAAAGAAATCCTAGAGATTTGTTAGGTGAGCTCGCACATCGGAGTGTAAGAACTGTAACAAACATACTGAATTCACAAACTCATCAGTTTTAAAATGAACACAAAAATGTGCTTTTCCTATTTTGTAGAACTAGGATGTTCTGTTAGTTGTCTGCGGTGGCCGTGTTGAATCGTGTTGACTTCAAACTGTAATCCGCTGGTGTACATTCATTTCCTGAATGTTTAATTAGTAGCTGTATGAACAAATGCATTTACTCACATGGACAAGAACAWAATCATCCTTTCTCCTTTGGCAGCAAGTCGTAAATTCATCAAATGCTGTCTGTCCATCCATTGGCTATACCTGCATAATCTTTAAAGGGGACATATATTGCAAAAAWTATTTTTAAGCTCTGTAGGAGTGCAGAAAAGTAGAATTTAAGGATTTAAAGGGACAGCCTCAAAACGAGTTGATCTGAGACAACAATTCAGGAAAGGGGTGAAAAAAGGGCTTGTGGAGTTAAWATARRGAGGAATTCAGACCAAAGCATTGCAGTTCCACCTTATATAGACCCCAACTGAATGTTTTAAATGTGAAAAAAGAAGGATTTTAAAGCATATGTCCACTTTAAAGCTGTGGTGGGTGGAGTGGAAGGGTCCCCGTCTCCAGCTGTCAATGAGTAACCGGCTGATTTTGTCTGTGACCGGTTCATCACTGGTGACCTTTTTAGATTGTTCATAAAAAATATACTTTAACCTGATAAAAATTCCTAATAATGACTTGGGCRTAATTTATAACTGCAAAAATAATGGCACTGAACACATTACGTTCAAAAATATAAAGTTGTTTTCTCTCTCTTTCCTTTGCGTCTTTATTATTTGTGCACCCCAAACCTCTACACGCTGCTCACTTTCATGGCAAAGAGCTAATTTTAGAGCAAAGACCAATTCCGCATGCGTACAGAACGTGTTAGCGGCTGCTGCCGTAAATAACTGGTGACGGTACTGTAGTTTACATCCGTCTTTTGCAATTGAAGTCCTAATGAGTTTCCGTGGGTAATGCGGAGGAGCAGCCACGGGGTGAGGTGCAGCTCTGAGAGGGACTCATACTTCTGGCAAGTGAGCAAAACTGACACCTCCCTTCCCTTTGAGTTGGCACGAGGTGTCTCTCCTCTCCTCAACAGAAACCAACAAAGGCCTCATACACGCCATAACTAAGAGACATCAAATGTTGGCTCGTCATGTGGAGAGAATGTGTAAATATATCTTCAAATGTGTCCTCGTGTGTTGTTTTTCTCCCAGTGTCTTTTTCTACCCCCCCCCCCCCCCCCAATCTCTTCCACTGTTGTGGGGGTGTTGGGCTGTTGTCACAAAGTGCTGTTCCTCCGTCGGCTGATCAATATGTTGCCTTTTTTTTCTCTCTTTCAGAGGAGAAGACACAGCTGGTTCTAAATGTCGACAAACAGCTCGAAGAAGTCAGAGAGTTGGTACGTCTTTGATCAGTAATTTTCTCCTCTTTCCCATTTCCTAAATTATGAATTTGCAGGAAAACGGGGAGGGGGAGGGGGCAGTCTTCACCGGCACCAGACAGCAGCACCTGTGTTATCCTGGCGGTGACATGACATGYAGACATGCTCGCTCTTCACATGGCAGAAAGGAGGCTTCCTCCTCACATGATTACTTCCCAGTAATCTGCTTTTAAGTGACACCCCTATGACACATTTCAAGCCATTATCTCGAGGTGCAAGACTTCATGTTGCTGTTTAAAAAAGAAGAAGAAAAAAAGGCAGTCAGCAGACAGAGACAAATTGTTTTTGCAGTTGTCTTGTTATGGCATTGTGATTAGTTTCCTCCAAATCTGCCAAGAAGAGATGTGTCTACCCCGATGCATCAAATGTGCCTTTTCTCCTCATTCTGTGTGACATTGTTGGGCCTATTCATGTCACTGCAATAAAAAAGGGGGGCCTGGTATTTGATGGTGTATTTATTTACAGAACCGCCTTACTCTGTTGCTACTTTTGTCACAGCTGAGTGAAGAAAACAGGAGGCTTTTGATTATTATTAATATTATTTTTGCTTTGTACATGTAGAAATTTCATTAAAAACATTACAATAATTAGAATGATTATTCCTTTAAAAAATTAAATTTAAAAATGAGTTTTTTTATTGTTTTCAAAATGAACACATTTGCCTTTTTTATTGATTTGTCCTTTTATAAAGTAAATTTAAACTAGGAGCAATAAATCTATCCATCCTTCATTCCTACTTCCTGCAGCTGATAATCCAAGTTTTATTATTTTCTTTTTGCTAAAATCGATAAGAAAAAGTTAAAGAAATGACCATGGAAAAGTCTTGCCAATGAGTTAACTGCATCACCTGTGGGTTTCAGCTGGAGCAGATGGACCTGGAGGTGCGAGAGATCCCCGTCCAGAGCCGAGCCATGTACAACAGCAGGCTGAAGAGCTACAAGCAGGAGATGGAGAAGCTCGAGAAAGACTTTGTAAGCTCACAAGCCTCGCCATGAATTCTGCATTATTAAAACAAGTGCCACRAAACATTATTAATAATAATAAATGTTACATAATTCCAAAACTGTGTCTTCAAAGGTAAGAAGTGCACACGCACGCCTTGTTAAAAGTTGCTACTCTCAAACCTCTGGGCACCGTAGTTTTTGCTCACTAAACCAAACTCTTTTTCTCTTTCTTTATTTTTTATTTTTTTTCCTGCAATCATTTTTTTTCCCACATAAACAGTCCAGCACAGAAGCTCAGGGGTGCATCCACAGAGGTTAATTCACAGTTTATATTTGAGCTTACAAATTGTGCCCATCGAGGCCTGGTTGTGCATGTTTGTGTTGCGGCTCCAGCATCTGGCCTTGTTTAGTAATTCATAAACCACTATATTCCTCTATCAAAGCTTAATGAACAGTCCAATACTTTGGGTCACTTGCTTTTACTTTTTATTTACTCTGCAAGATGCTTCACTTTTATCAATAATGTTTTTGAACCATTTCTACACTTTAAATGGGCTCATTWTTTTCACTTAAAGCCATTTTTGGATGATCGTATGATGCAAACATGATGGATGTTTTAATGGGCTTTTGTTGTGCTTGTTTTCCACCAATCAATACTGGTTTTATTTCTACCTCAAATTTTACAATAGTTGAGGAGTAATTCAYGTACGTCAATAATCTTAAATGAAGTTTGTTTTTTCTTAAATAAGTTATGAACTTTTTCCTGGAGTAGCTTCTATTAGATGGAGACGGGGTTCCTGCAGATCCTTAAAAAGTCTTAAAAGGCATTGAATTCATCAATCCAAAAATWAGGCCTTAATTAGCCTTAAAATGTCTTAAATCAATCTTTCAGATATCTTAAAATGTTAACACATTGTAAATAGGATGACTGTAATTCGTCTCAAATACTAAAATAATTGGTAATATTTATTTTTTTAAATATATACATGCAGACATTCCCCTTTGACATCACTTCCTGTTATTTCACATGCAAATATCTTAACAACAGTCCGTCTGATCAACGTGAAATTTGTTTTGTAATATGTTAATAATGTTGTCTTTCCAAAAATGCATTCACTTTTCTTACAAAAACTTGATGTCACAGACACTTCAAGGTTTCTTCTACAGCAAATTGGGGTTAAGACCCCACTGTGGGTCCTAAAACTGCAAATTTTGGGTCGTTAAACTGACTGCTAAGAATGTTTTTGCTATGTTTGATGAAAAAGCAGTTAAATTTTGCTAATAGACCTATTGTTTTTATCCATATCTAAGTACGTCAACCAAAAATACTTTGATTCATGAGTTTCTGCCACAGTATTATTTTTTTTGTCATTTGTGTTTATTATGAAATTGGTCTTAAATTTTTTCAGTTGGCGTTAAAAAGTCTTAAAAAGTCTTAAATTTAACTTGCTTTAATCTGTAGGAACCCTGAGGATGAGCAAAACAATTAACAATGCAAAAGTTTTCACTAAAAATGATTATTTGAGCAAAGTATGAGAGGTTTGGTAGTTTTAAYGTTCTTAAAAAATAATGTGATTTAACGCCGTGTTAAATAATGTCCTACAACCCRCTTCGAAGTGAAAACATTATCCAACTGCAGCCCATCTCGTGGGCTGCGGGCACGCACACCTACAGACTGACATTCAAAAAGAATCAAAGTGGAATAAATCTGCGTCGATTTTCAGTCCCGTTTCTATTTATTTATTTTTAACATTTGCCGAGTGTCCAAGATCATTCCCCACTAAATGGTTTTGAAGTCTCGAGTGAATTAATCTTCCACAACTCTCACGCTTCCAAAAGCACAAGAAAGAAAAACGCATAAAAAAAAAACTCCAGATAGATGGAGATCTTGTGCGCCAGTGATCTGTGCGAACGCTGCCGAGACACACTGAGATGACAGAGGAGTTCTCTGTGCCAAAACAAGTTGCTTTCCTCACCCTGGGCGTTTAATTGGCTGCTGATTTATCTTCAATTTTTCTTCTCTCCTCACTTACCGTATTTAATCATCAAGCCGTTAACACCTGCTGGGACATGATATTAGAGCTAATTTTCATTACTTGCATTTTTATTTCCTGTCTTTGGAGGCGTATGTGGGAAAATTACTTTTTTTTTTTACATTTTTCTTCACCGACTTTATAACGCCTGACCCTTTGTGCTCGGTGCATAAGGTCGTTATCGTTACATCTGAGTCTCTTAACGTGTAAGTTGTACATGTCTTGTCTAGCTGTGGTTAAATGCAAAGCAGAATGCCGTAGAAGGGATAAAAAAAGACTTTATTTGTAGTGTGTATACTTCTGCGCGTGGTGCCGTCTCCGTGTATGTTAAAACCCGGAACACCCACCTTATAAACTTACATTTAGTGTTCTGAAGGCACGAACGCCAGCCTCCACAGGTGCACATCTGAAGTGCCAAATGCTATAACCAAGCTCAGACTCTCACTTCCTGCGGGCCAAGGAAGGACGTGACACTCGGCTCGAAAGGCGAYTTGTAGAGGAGTGAGGAAAGAAAAAAGAAAAAGGGCAATCTCCTTTCTTTTGAATGTAAAAAGCTCTGTCTTTGTTGTGCTTTCCGTGGATATCAAGGCCTTTTCACTCCCTCGCTACTCAATCTCTCCGCACTTCCCACCCCCCACCGGCCTCCCACGGGTGTCTCCCTCCTTAACCTGCTCTCTCATCCTCTCATTCACCCACGGTTTGAAGTATTTCTTACCACCGGTGTGCCAGCTTGAGACCTCATTCTCGCTGCTCTCCAGACAGGGCAAGAGTCGACCTCAGTAACCCGTCCATTTCATCCAGGAAGACAAGTTATCAAACAGCCGTCCCTGAGGTGTACACATGAGCTTTGTTGCCCTGGTGAAGAGCTTCATTCTGATAATAGAGGAGACGGCGGGGGTCTTAAAGGTGCTGGGCCCTTGACCGACAGACGCAGCAGCCAAATGGGATGCTATCTTTTACAGTAGATTCAATAAAACATGTTGAAAGTATTAAAAGAGGAAAATTACTGTTTTTATTTGAAGGGGGAAGCTGGTTCAATGCTGAGGAAGCATGAGGACTCAGCTCTTAACGGTGGCTTTGATGAAGGAAAGAGGATGCCCAGTTTAAAGCCTAATTTGATTAAATGGATTGGATACCAGAGCTTCAATGCCAGGAGGACTGGATCAGGTTTGAGCAAGGCAAAGAATTCAGTTGTGACAAAACGTATTAAAAAGAAAATCTGGATAAGTCGCTATTTTCTTTGGTTATTTCTAAACTTTTGTTTGTTTATTTTATAATTTATAATCTGCCCCCACCCCAAYAAGTTAATGTTTTTATGGCATAGCATCCTCTCTGCTCCAGGTTGCGTAGCTGTTGAGCTCTTCCAGCAGTAGATGGCGACATTGCTCTAAGGATTTTCCTCTAAGGTACATGACGTTGGAGCTGCTGGACGCATTTACCAATTACTCTGCCTTTATGATGTACAAGTGGACTCGCAGTGACAAATCCTTCCACTCATTACTATGTCTGACCTATTTTTTTAAGTTTTCTTGGGGAGATTGAAGAGGCTGTTATTAAGAGTGTCCTTGTGTTCTCAGCTTTTCAGACTAGTAAAAGACTTACATCAGTCTAACTTACAACTTTCTTTTTTATTTTGGTCTTTATGCGCTAGAAATAATAATTAAGCAAACAAATCATGTGCCCCTTTTTTTGTAAATGCAATATAATTTCAAAAGATTTAACATTTGTATGTTCAAAATCCCACTAATCCTCAGGTTCCACGTATCAATGGATCTTTTAAACAAGGGTTGATATACTTCACCTCCTTTTATCGCATAAAGCTTACAAATTTCATTTTTATCCCAATAGCGAAAACACTTCTGATCCTAATGTGAGAGGCTTTATATGCTCAAGGATTCTTGACTCAAAAAAGGTTAATTAGTGGTCTTTAAATTACATGCTTTGATAAGTTTTCTTGTCAAATAACTCAAATTTCTCTGTCTTAAGTTGGCCTCCATGGTCAAGGCAGCTTTATTGATGGAATGAGAGCCATTGTGTGATGTTTTTGGTGCAGAATTTAATTTATTTAGATAGAAAACCGATGCTGATTTGTCATAAGATGCTGAATATTATTCTATCAAGGACCGGGAGGAAAAAAAAGGTTGCCATTCATTGGTACACATCAGTCATCCTTTTGAAACACGTGCTCTGTCATCGCCCGACTTTTATGCGAGGTTGGTAAATAGTGTTGCCACGGAACGTAATGTAAGTTATTCCAAAATGGGATGCAGTCGCATTTTTCTTATTTTGTTCTAAATGAATTCCTGAAATAAGTTTAGTCCTTCTGAAAACGTTTTGAAACGACGAAAAATGATTTGTCTTCTGATTCGTTTCTAGCTTCATTTATCCCATTATGAACCTCCAAATTAAATCATGAGGTTCGCTGTCGTAGAGATACAACTCTCCTTTCCTGATTTCCACTTGTCCGCTGGGTATTGTTTGGCACTTCAGTCATGCTCAAGGAGGATGTTTGGGCTGCCTTTTTCCTTTAATACAAGCCTTTTAGATGGAATGCTTCCTAGTGTCTGCCCAGGGAGATAATTAATGCATTTCCAAAGAGTCAGCCAACCTTGAAATATTGAACACTTTATTTTCCAGGTACACCGAGGTGAATGGAATGAAAAGCTGTTTGTACTCATTTTCTTTTCTCTCTCTCTCTCTTTAAATATCCGTTTCATAAGTGACCTTATAAAGATGATTTAAAATGCAGGGTTTTAGCTGGAGCAATCAGTGAACTTTGGCAGGACAAATTAAGCTTTTAAATGGGAACTTCTGTTTAATTCAGCCGACGTGTTAGATAATTTAGTGATCAAAATAAACGTGAACATATCTCTGAGACTAWATTCCGTTGTAGTGGAGAAACTAAAGAATAACCTTTTTAATTTTTTTACATTATTGCATACGGTTTGTTTTATAAAGATGTTTTCTAGATTGTTCCCTCTGCTTTTAAAAACC